GCTATAGAAACCTGCCTAGAAAGAGAGCTGACAAAGAGATCAATGAAACGGTGCTTACTACATCCACCATTGCAAACCGAAACTGCGACCAATGACAGTCGAGGCCTTTGCATATGCATCGTGAAAAGCTTGTATCAAATCAGATCACAGTAGCTAATCATAAAACTCATGTAATAAGGTGAAAATTGAAAAAAAATTGAGTCTCTCCACTTTGCATCTTTCTCTTTGTAGAACTTGCACTTTTTGACTTCTTTAGCAATTTTAACTTCGATCTTTAAGGTCTATCAGGTTTTAAATTCATCCCCTTTTTAATTTTGTTTCTTTTTGTTAGGATTTGTTTGCCAATTGCTAACATTTTTGACAACCGCCTTTTTAGATCTTTTTGGCCTAATTTAAAATTATTTCGCCTGCAAGATTTTAAGAATGAAGGCTATTGTAATTTTGCTTCTTAAAACTTTTCTAAAGACGTAAAGAGACATGAGTTTTTAGTAGAATATATACGAATATTCGATCTAACGTAGTGCAGCTTGTCTGGGCTTTCCCGAAGACGAAAGAAGACACAATACGTGGTCGAGACATGCATAATCCACATGCAGAAGATATTTTGTCCACTGGCATGGCTTAAAGGCCAGGCCCCCCAGCAGAGTGCAGTGACCAAGTTCAAGGTGGCTTTTCGCCAAAACAGAGAGCTAAATAGTTATTGTACTACATGGCCCCTCTCCTCCTTTAAGCGTCGTCTCTGGCGTTCCCCCTGGTCAACCTCCTGCGTTAGCCATCACAACGCCGTCGGTGCTGTAAGGAAATGTCCACGAACCGGCCATGTTAGTCAGCAAATTGCTATCTAGCTTAAGAGATACTTGATTTTAACGGCACTAATCACTCTTGGCAACTCTGGCTGCATCTGGAGTTTGGTCCGGTTTGAGGAATGGATTCTGAGACTGAGTATTATGCTGGCCAACATGCACGCCCATAGACAGATGTAGGAACACTGGCCTAAGAGTAGGTTTGTGTAAGGAAGGGCGGAATTTTGTACAGGTCCGTGGGGAAGAGTTTTGCGTCTGTTCCTCCTAGACTCGTTGTTCTCACTTCGGAGCTGCCCAATTCATATCTATCAGGGCTCCAGCCATCTAATAGAGTAGTGGAAGAGGTATCATGAGTTCAGTTTATCGACAAATTAATGCAGGTACGGTAGGGAAACTGCAATGAAACTAGTGCAAATGGTTCACGGCCAGTGTCGCTTCGGTTGTAATTAGCTTTTCCGCAGAACGCGCGACTGGGGTAATTGCAGAGGGTAGACATCAAATTCGGCCAACCTAATTGAAGTTATCGCGGAATTCCTTATCTGCAGCATATGTACTTCTCCCTAGCTAAGTTACATCATCCAGTAGTATGAATCAGGATAGATGCCCCTTGTAATCGGGTTTGCTTTTCGCCACCACCAATGTAGCCTCCCGAGACTTCCCCGAAAAATAAAGAAGATATAATACACCGCAAGGACATATATATTTGACATGCAGACGATATTTTTGCTACTGACATGGCTTGAAGGCCAGTCCACCCGGCACAGTACAATGGCCAAGTCAAAAGTGTCACTTTAACAAAACCGAGCTAAACAACCATCGTAGTACAGTAGTGTCTGAGTACACCTGTAGTTCACGGCATTTAGCCCGCCCGACGGGGTTTCGTTCACTGAGCATTTTATTACCTTTCAAGCATACTTGGGAGCCTAAACACAATATTAGCGTGTTGCAATAGGTTTCATTTAGAATATGTACTGTCAACGTTCATCCTGGCTTGGTAGTACTGGTATAACATGGAGGAGAGATCGGCCTTAGTAACCCGATTACAAAACTAGTAGTTGAGAATTTGATTAAGGTATTGCATACCCACCTCAGATACTGTACAAATGGGTTTGTTTTTCACTTGATGCCGTTCAAAAACTGCTGCCATAATTGGAGGCCATTTAACAAAGCTTTTCCCTAGTCTGAGTATCTATTATTCCTTTGTTAGCTTTTGAACTACTAATTAACCACTATATAAATCCAAGTCTTTTTGATGTCGAAAAAATGCTGCGGTCTTACAGAAGGAGTGCGTGGATACTGGTACAGTTTGGAGGCACGGAAATGCAATAAGGAAGCCTTAAGCGTGGGTGTAATAGGATGCTTGCCTGCTTAACGGTTAGAATTGGTAAGAAAAAATTTTACCTGGCTATTGTACCTCCTCTGGGTGGGATGGCCTCCTGGTCATACCAGTAGTTCGAATACCTTCTGCATGGCAAATACATGTATTCTGCCAGGGCATTATGTCGTCTTTTGTCTTCAAGGAATTCTCCGGATGCTACATTGGTGGCAGCGGAAAGAGAACCTGATTTAGAGGACATCTGTCCTGATTTCCACCAGAGGGTGGTGAACCTTAGCGGAGGAGAAGAGGTATATATGCTACGAATAGAAAAATAGGCGATAGCCCCAGGCAGAAGGGCTAAAATTGACCTCTGTCCTCGGCCACTCCTACAGTTCTGCGTTCCGTGGGAAAGCTACTAACAACTGAATTAACACTGGCCGTAAACTATCTGTAAGTCACGTTACAGAGACTCCATACAGTATCTACATGAGACTGTCATTGAAGTTAACCTGCGGTACCCTCTCCATTTCCCTTTTAGATGGAGTGAGCCTGGATAGATAGAACTGAGCAGCCCCGAAGTGAGAAAAAAGTATCAAGGAGGGGTAGACGCGAAACCTCCATTTTCACGGACCTATGTTATATCTCATTCTCCCTCTCACAAGTTTTCTTCTAGGCCAGAGTTCCTTCATCTGTTTATGGCCTCGCACGAGAGCCATTACAATTGCCCGTTCCTAAATCCAGTCTTCAAACTACGGAAAACTCCAGATCAGGTTTGTTTACTAGAAGAAATCAGTCAGGTATCTCTCTAATGGCTTAGAAATTTGATTACTGGCACGACTGGTCCGTGGGTATTTTCTTGCGGCGCTGACGACGTCGTGATAATTGCAGCAGAAGGGTGGCCAAGAAAGGCTCCAGTGACTTCATTTTAGGAAGGGAGAGGTTTCGCAATGCCTTAGTTTTCTGTTTAACAGTCTATTATTGTAAAGGGTCTTTGTCATGGCCATTGTACCACATCGGGTGGACTAGCCTTCAGGTTACATTAGAGGCCCAAGTATCTTTTACTTGTCAAACGTATATATTCTGCCTGAGCATTATGTCTTCTTTTTTGTCATTAAGGAAGCCTCGTGTTGTCAGGCCAGTGCAGCAGAAATTAAAATAAAACCTGAGGTATCACTTTCGCGACTATGAATCTTTGTAACTTTGAGACCGTTTAGAGTAAAGAATAGTTAATCGTCACTGCAATTTTTGTTGCCTTTTTAATTTTTATTTACTTACAAAGAAGGTTTATTTTAACACTTAATTTATTGACTTCAAATTTCGTGCTTATGCAAACCATTTCATGTAAAAGCTTTCAACTTGTGCTATACAAAGAATTTTCGAGAGAATATCAAACTTTCAAAAATTAATATTCAAGTGCAATTTAAAACCTTTTAGATTCCACTTTCATAATTGTTGAATTCTTTTTACCCTTGTTTATATCTGCGTGCCTCCCGAGACGGTCGATAAGTGTGGTAAAGTTGTTTGTTCTGTGAATCTGTCGTTTTTAAGATGTAAGCAGTTTTCTATCTTTCTAGTGTTTGTAGGCAGAAGGAAAATGCTTTCGTTGAAACTCCTCCTTCGTGGCCTCCATGTATGCAAACTTGTCATTTGAATAATCCGTTTTAGCTTCACTGCCTGTGACACCATCACCTCTGCCCCAAATGAACCATTTCTTTTCTCCACTTACATTCCCTAGTCAGCCCTATTATTTCGGCCGTCCCATTGTTCTCTCTCTTCCCCAATTTTCGAATTCCTTTCCTTCGAATGATAACTTGACTACACAAGTGCCTGTATCAGTCCCCATGACTCCCCAGAGTATGCCTACTCCCGTTGTTCCTAATACTGTGCATCTTCGATCGAGTAGTCCTCCAACAAACGCAGATATTCTAAGTGTTCCTATTGCGCAAGAACATGCTGATTGTGCCACTGAGATCAGTAGTATCTGTCCAGAACCGACGGATACCATTATCAGTATCAAAAACTGGGTAGCTGTCAATTTGGAGGAAGATGGTGAGTGTCGTATTGCAGGACGCTATATTAAATCCGGCCAACTTATCTGTTCGGACAGGATAGTTTTTGTTAATTATCGTGGAGACATAGCTTCTGATGGAAAAAGGCTGTTCAAATTATGCGGACCAATCTCATGGGAATTATACAAGCTTCAGCACCCACAAGTGGGAGAAATCAATCCCACAATGCATTTGCGGAAGGCCTTTTCCAATGGGTTTCCACCGAAAAACAGGCGGAATTGGATGAGGGCTCTGTACCGCTTTCTCTATCGCCTGACCCAACAAAAGCCGAGTTTCAGACAAACTGTAAATCATTTCGTTCATTTCCCTGATTTAAGGATTTCGATAATGTGAATGAATCAGGCTGTTTCTTAATTTTGACTAATGTATTGATAACTGATGTAGCCGGATTTTTGAACTGTGTTCGCTGTTGCCTGTCCCTTTTCAATCATCTTATTATGTTTCAGAGGCTGAAGTCTCCAGCACTGGCGGATGGGATTAGAGATGTCGACGCGACAACTTTGGAGCCATTGGATGTTGACCCAAGGTCGGATAACACACTAGACTTGCCATTTCTTGTTCTCAATTCGCCCAGTCACTATTCTCGGAGGAAACGCCGTTCATCCTCCAAAAGGCATTCCGATTCACCAGAGTGTGTATGTACTGTTGTCCTCCTAGTCTTCACTTGGTTCTCTCCAATCTACACCCCCTTTCGTCCTCTCAGATTCCCCACAAAAGTTGCTACTCTGATCCTTCCTCTGATACTGAGTCGATACGGGATGAGAATGAGCCTATTCCTAGCGCGTCCGTCCTGAATGAGATCGACAGCAATGACTTCTCCACAAGGGGTAGGCGAAATCCTACTTGGGGAGGCAAAGCTTCCTCTTCATCTCCACTAACTGTTGAAATGGGAGTGCAAACTTCCAACGATTTCTCACCATCTCGATTGGCGTCGACGGGATCGTCAGCTGATAGAAAAAGTCGACGCGATGTTGCGACGGAGACGCGGAGGACAAGAGAGCGGACCCCAGTCTCCAATTGGATGGAGGAAGATTTGCGGGTTGGTTTATTTTAGTCCCCTTTTTCTTACCATGATTCAATGTGGTTATGAACCTTCCAGTTAAACATGATCCTGAGGAACGCGGACATTGAGCGCACGCCATTGCTGTCGCGACCATCACAAACGTTGCCGTCACATAAACTACACTCTCACGGATTGCGTAGGCGACAGTCGGAGAAGGAGGCGAGGGTGCTCTCCTCGGGTCATTCGGCGAAGGGGTCGGCAGTCGTGGATATGGATGCCCAGGTGTTTTTTGGTGAACAGGAAGATGATAATAATAGTGGTGATGATATGGTGGCCGAGTCCTCTCGGTGCTGCCCTTATTCCTCCCAGAAGTCGAAGGGTTCATCTCAATCGAGGACACCAAAAGTGGGTGCCCATTTGGCTCTTGTCCCTTAAATCTGGCCTGTTGGGATTGAATAGGATGGCATTTACTTGAATTTTTTAACTAGTTTAAAGCAGGTCTACAGACGAAACCATTTGACCTCTGATTGTGCCAAGCGGGTGTTTTTACTGCAAACTAGTTTCTTTTAACGTAAATTTGTTGACTTCGTTCTGTGCAGCTTCTCGACAAATTCAATTTTTTCTGGCTTGAAGCCTTCATCCATTAGTTCACTTAAAAGCTAAGCGATTTTCTCGCATTTCGATAATTTTCCAAAGTGGGTTCTGTTTTCTTCGGCTTCATTAGGCAAGCTTTTATATTCTCGCAGCACCGCCACTAGTGCTGGAAGGAATTGATTCCATGATGTTTAGCTGTTAATTTTCGATATAAGGTGTGTTGGTGCTTGCCCTAACAGGTAACAATCCGAGGATATTGATATGGAGAATCGAGATATAACCGCCATCTTTGGGGTGATTCAGGTTGACTCATTTTAGGGAGGGGCCAGTGGTTATTTTGTCCTGTTTTTACCTTTCCGAGCCAGCAATGTTTTTGATGTTTATACGAAACTAACCATCGTCCGAGTTCTGATTTGTTGTTTTCTTCAAAAGCATTAAAGTAGTCTTCAGATATTTTTTGTGGCAGCATTCAATTTTTACTTCATTCTATGGGGCTTTTTGTCCGATTGTCTTGTCCTTAAATAGATCCATGTCGCCAGCTTGTGGCCACTCGAAATTTATATTTTCTTTGCCTTCATATGACTTTCATCGTCAGTCATTAAGATAAAAGTTATAAAACGGGTTTGTGCACATTCGCATGCATTTGTGCTTTGATAACGCCATTTATATTCAAGAACAAATTTAACTGGGGTGACCTTTCCTGCCGAAATTTTTCAAGTTGCTGGTGCGTCTGGTCATCAGATCTGCTGAAGAACGTAGTTGACGATGCCATATGTACCTTTCGATGGTGGTAGTTATAACTTAAACATCATGTTCAAGCTAGCTGCAGTCTTGTTGGAATATTTGTGAATGGTTTGCCTTTGTTGTTGCCTCTCTGCAATACAAAAATAATAGTCTCAATCTTCACGATACTGTGAACAAATTGGGTTAGATGCGATTTAAACCAAGGCGGCTTGGATTTATTCACGACGATTTATTCTGCTTCTAAACGCAGAGGAATTCGGGTTCTGTTATTACAATGCTACTTCGTAAGGTCCCTAAATGTTCGATATGGGATTGTTCTTTAAGCAAGACGAAAACTCATCTAACTGGCGTTTTCGCCATATTTAGGCTTAATTGTTGCCTTTTTTACCAATTTTGTTGTTAATTCCTGAGGTGATCGTAATGTGCGTTTACAGAATTCTGCTTGTTCGCTGCCGTATCGCCTTGAAAAAAAGGCGCCCAAGAAGTTGAGAATTAAGGAGGCCCGCGCCTCCTCAACCTCCTCCACGTCAAATCGCAAGAGCCACAGTCGGAGTCGCGAGTCCCTTCACAACAGCCATCATAAATATCAGCAGCAGGACCAAGGCCAAGGAAGGCACCAGGACCACACCTTAGACCGGCGCCACCAACTCATAACGCAGCTGGGTGAGTTCTCCTTTCGCTTATTTGGTTTATGTGAGGGAGGTAAAATTGCCTTTCCTTCCCTTTCCGCCACAGGTGTCGTAGATGTGCGGGACCTAAGGAGAACGCGCTCGGGCCGGCTGAGTGTACCCACGCGAGACACCTGGCATCGACAGAAAATCGTCTTTGATGGAGCCGATATCAGTGTAGATCATGGAGAGTACGGAAAGGTGGGTTAAACAAAACCTTCACACTGCTTCATTGGTGCAGTATTTATCCGTTTGTATTTCACATAAGTTTATGCTTTTTACCCTAGTGTATTCTGTTATGAGAGATAGCTCCTTAGTGTTAAGTTTTTAAGTCGATCTTGGTGCTCGAGTTCTGATCACTATTTGATGCTCCCATGACAGCCAATATACTCTTGCCATGAAATCTTGGGTGACTGAACGTTCTGTTCTTCCATCTCTGAAGGTCTTGCCTACCTTGAATGCCTCTGACTCAATAGAGAAAGTGTTAGATGCCATATCGACAACCATTATGACCTCTACTTTTTCATGAAAGTTTACTGGATAGTGTTTTATTTTGGTCGGTTAAATCAAAATCTTTGCATCTCACTGTATCATTGTTATCATTACTTCAAGAGCATAGGGTTTTTTCGACGGGTTCTATCCCTGAGATAATTTGGAGTGGCCTTACTTTTTGGTGATTTGGAATAGAGGCCATTGTGGATTCTAGTATTAACTGAGCCTTGACTATCATTTCCAGTACAAGATGCTTTTTAGGTTTCGCGGTAGTTTTTCAATCAAGATTGTAATGCTTAGGGTTCTGTGGTTAGCTTAGGGGGCCCTGGTTACTTTAACGTTTTTTATCTTCAGCAATATTTTTTCCTCATGTTTCAGAAAATGCGACTTGGTGTAGATCACCACATCATGCCCTTCTGACAACTGGCACGACATTAATCAGTTTTTGTTTTTTGGGATAACTTCTGCTTTAGCAGTCTAGACGACTCTTCATATTCTTTGTTGATCAGACATGGGACACTTAACAGGACCTTCGAGATTCACTCCTTGATTTTGTCAATTTAGGTGGATTTTTTTGCATCCTTGGTCAGTGGCTCCTGAGATGGCTACTATCCTTCAGCAAATTCGCTACTCGTTTTGTCTTGTGAATTGTTTCCTCTGTTTTAATCTTACCTTTGGCGGTTTAGATCGGGGAGACTTCATTACTTATTTTCCACGAAGTGCGCTCCTGTTTATCCCCGAAATTCATCTCTCTGCCAGTAATTCACCAAATTTACTAGTACTCAGCGAAATCTGCCTTTAAAACCATCTTCTCGGGGAGTTTCCCCTCAGTTGTGACAAAGTTTGGGATACTTGACTTTCGGCATCTGTTGAGAGCGATCCAATTTTTTGTGTTGACAACTTTATTGTTTCATGGGTTTTTAACTGTTTAAAGGTAATATTTATTACCACCTCTACTTATATGAGTTTTGAGAACTTCACTCGTGAATTTTTTTTGCCTCCCATGTTCACATTTCATCTGTTGGATTATTTTACTTTTCCAGTTTTATTTTCTTCGTTTCACATACCTTGTAGTTGGAAGATATCTATTTATATTGGCCTTGCTGTGGAAGTGGTGGTGCAATCTGCTATTAATGATTGCTGGGTATTCTATTTCCAGCTCGTGATGTTGGCCATAGCATAGTGGAGTTTTAGGAGGAAGTACCCTGCAGACTGTTGAGGTTGAAATTTTCCCTATATAGAGGCATCCCGCTCGGTTGGTATTGGGGTGCATGGTTCACTCTTAAATTTTTGTCTTTGGGAAAGAGCGGGTAGTGAATTTTTCTGCCGTTTTTGTGTCCATTACTTCAAAGGAAATTGCTAATATTACCGGCTAAATGTGGCCGCTGCATTTCCCTATTGTGTGAGTGGACTGATCCGTGCTCGACTGATGCAAAGGTCGCAACGCGGTGCGTAGAGAACCCTCATTCATTTAAGAACATTTGTCCTGTTTTTTTCGGCTACCGGTGTCCATCTAGAAGATTCTTAGAGGTAACGAATTTCCTTCGTAGAGCCGGATGCCATTATATTGACGGCCCTTTGGTGAAATTTCCGTTCCGCTTTTTGGTGTTTTTCTTATCACTTGACCGGTTAGAAGAAATTTCGCGGTTTCCGTTATCTCCGTAACTAGCGTTGGTGACGAAGGCTCTCCCCCCTTCCTCTCGTTGGCGAGCGACAACCTAATGATGTGTGTTGGGATATGAAATAACACACTGATAGTGTGATGGAGGATTGTGGGCTGAAAGGGGGCAGTGTTTGACAGCTGAAAGTATCCTATTCTTGAACTCGTTTTTAGATCTTTATTAGCCTTCCTTTTTCCTATCGACTTCAACACCCGGGAGCCTAAAAGCAAGCGTATGCCCATTTTGAAGAACTTGGTTCACCATTGGTGACCTGATGTTGATAAACTTTTCTGTCGTCTTTCTAGTACTTCTCCAGCATGATAAACGACTAGATCGCGGCCGACCGCCTGCTTGTAACTTGTCTGTACAGTCCCCATCTACCAACCACGACTTCACTGCTCTTTGTAAATAGAGTTCTGCTTCTTCTCTGTGTTCAATTTTCTCCCCGTCTTCATCTATTGGTACAAATGATTCGCATTTGATTTCATTTTTTGGGAAGGAAGAATGTGAGAAGCAATCTTATTCAACAAATTAATGTGGGAGACGATTCCACTCTTTTGTACAAATAGTGTAATAATTTTTTGGGTTCGTTTGCTTGTTTCTTAATTTATGGAAGAATGGGGTGCCTTTGGACTTGATTCTTGTCACCTTATTGGTTTCATCAAATGCTCTTCTGGTGGGTTTCGTAGTTGGCGTAGTAGGTATTTGGTACAAGATGCCAAATGTGGAGTAGTGGTTTGGTCTTTGAGATTCCTTGATCTCGTTGGTTTAAAGGACAGCGTAAAACCACTCATCACACTGGCTGTATTCGAGCCAATCAGATGCTGATATTGGGGGACTGTGGGTTGTAACCTCCAGGGGTAGTTTAGGTCAAGCAACCTTATTCCAGTGGTGAATCAATCAGCAGTAGGCAGGTTGTGTCTGCGCTGAGCCCCCGGTCTCCATAATATGGAACCGCCTGCTACTGTTGGTTAAGCGAGTCGGTGATCTACCTGTCTTTAACTTCCACTGATGCCTAACCGGAGGGATGGGATGGTCGGTCTGCGCCCACATCAATAGGGGAACGTGAGGTCGTGGTGGAAGTGGACTCCGCTCCCACGCAATAAGCGATCGCGTTAGCCTTCAAGAGCGTTGCATTTTAACTTTCTGGTGTTACAACGACTTGGACTGTTTGTCGGCCGACCCACCTGCGACAAAAGCGAGCGCATCACTGGTTCTCCGTTCCCACTAACCACCTTACACCGACGGCCACCACTCCATCTCGAGACGACTACACCTGCCCCGCATGAGGTGGACTGCAAAACCATTTGTTCGCTACGAATTCCTTGTTGAGGGCCTCACAAACCCGCTTGATGGATGGTTTCCAAGCAGACAACCTCGTGGGAAACAGCCAAGCCTAAGTAGCTCGACTGGATGAAAGTCCGACTCTATCGAGATAACAGGAAACTTCACCCCGTACCGTACTCCGGAATGGGATGGGACAGGGTAGGAGGTATTAACCCATCCTCCATATTATCCTTTCAACATTTATTGACCTCAGTACTCAACAATTGCATGATCACATGGCGAATGGGGAATTTGGGAAATCAGTGTGGGGTATAAGTGGAGATAGGCTTTCTTCTGGCTTCTAGAAGAAAAAAAGCTCCATAAAAGTGGATTTCTCAGGAAGCCTTTGGCTCGTTGAGAAAGTGTTGATCGATTGTAGCATCGGAAGCAGTTTCAACGAATAAAAGTGCACCTTAGTAACCCCACAAACCCACTCGGAGTTAACTTGGTTGCTCCCTCCTTGCCACCTCTCTGAGTGACCGCCACTAAAGTACAAACTGCTATGAGTTCAGCTCAGTCGGGCGAGTCGCAGGGCTGAGCAGAGATCGCTCGCTTTTCAAGTGATTGCGGAGGGGCTGTAGAGTTGAACAACCCAGTCAGACCTCGCGAGCGGGGAGGGGGGGGTGGATGACGAAACAAAGGATGCTGGACAAATGTGCGGGAGGCAGTTCGGTGACCTCAACTTAACTGATTCAGTTGTAGGCTGCTTTGAGTTTTGGGAACAACTCTTTCTTTAAAAGAAGGCAAACGATGAACTAGTTGTGATACTCGGATCCCACTGCAACAACCCGGGCTTCATCGCCAATTGCCAAATGTATTTTCGAACCAGTGCATAAGAAGTGGAGATGTAGTAAGCACAAAAAAATTACAAAATAATAGTAGTTGTTGAAATAGTTCAATTAGAACGCACCTTTGAGGGGAGAGTCGGACAGCGAACACGAATCTCCTTACGGAATGGACGTCGACTTCTGCCGAGGAGGAGGTGCACTCTGTACCCTTTATTAATAATACCAACAAAGGATACCCGCTTCTTTTGAGCCTGCTTGTTCCAAGGGAATGAAGGCCAACGCAGAAGGCCAGTGGACCTCCGAACTTTTCGAGAGTAACAAAGACTTCCCAAGATGCCTTACCAATGCCCGATTCAAACCTCCGGTTCTACTCCAATGCCAGGAAATACTTCCTCCTCGGAGGCGCATGACGTCCATTCCATAACGAGATTCGTGTTCCCTGACCGCCTTTCGCCAACGAGGTGGATTCAAGCAAACCTGTATTACATTTGTGTTCCGTTTTTCGCTTCCTCTTTTCAGCCTTCCATTCTGAAGGGGTACCAATTAGCAATTTTAATGAATCTTGAAATGCTTCTAGCCCTCCCAAATTCCTAAAGCGCCATACTGGGTGTGGAGGAGGTTGTATGATTAACCATTCGGAGGCCATTGGAACGACTCCAAGTCAAACTCCTCCACAATCGGAGGTACGAACCAACGGGATCAATGAGTCCACATTGTTATAATGCAGCACTTCAAACCCTCCCAAACGGCGAACGAAGCCATCATACCAGAGCAGAAAGCGTATTCTCGACGTACAGAAATGTTGGGAGGGAGATCTCTACTCCCATTGGTTAGGAGGCCATGCCATTTAGAGGAAGCACAAAGGCGGCGACTTAAGTTCCCACGTAGCCAAAACGGAGGGTTAACCCAATAAGCACATTGTTACAATATATACTGTTAAACATATATCAAATCACCATATGTGTGTTTGCGTCGTTGTGAGGTGTACCCTCACTCCGCTACGCAGTGCGGCCCTTTACTCACACTTGCAGCCCCTCGAGTCCTTCAGTATGCAATCTGCGCCTGTTATTCGACACCACTTTAGCTTATTGCGACTTCTACAAAGCCTAGAAAAGCTACAACAGTCAACTTAGGCGACACACGAGAGCCATCGGCAGAATGCAGAGGCTCACAAAGCGGTCCCCTTTTAACCGTCAATTTTATTTGCAGCCAGTCAGTGACAACAGTAAAACCCATCACTTTGTGACCTGACCCCGAGTTGTTAGTTACACCTTTTAAGAGCCAATAAAATTAAAACCTCTGTTGTCATCAGAAACGATGGTTGCGTAACCCCCTATCCTTGCAAGAAAATTTCTACTTTTGACCAAAAGTTTTTACGTACTGCTTTAGTGATTAAAACATCCCCAAATCCAGTAACTAGTACTACTAACATGCCTCCTCGACTCGACGAGAGGACTAAAACTGCATTCACTTGAAGCTTCTAAGAAAGCTCACATCTAAGTGAACCGACTGGACCCACAACAGAAGGGGACACAGAGCTACTTCAAACAGTTGGCCTCGTGAGAAATAAGAACTGTTTTCCTTCTAGACGCGTCTGTTGGACGGTAGCCCTACTCTCAGACAGGTGTTCCTACACCAATAGAATTATTCGAAATATTTTTACTCGACAAAGTACCGCCTAACAAAGCACTCCCAGGATGGATCTAACCGTGAGTCGATTTTTATTTCATTCGACAGCCTCACATCCACATCACCTTCGCTCGACGTTGTGATGGCCGTGAGTAAAATAAGAAGCCTGTTTGTTCCACCTGTACCTCTGCACCAGTTCGACTAACAGACTTGGAGTCGCTTAGATCTTCTCTACCATTATGAAAGATAACTATGAAGATTAAGTGAACTGTTATAGCCCCCAAAAATTACCTTTGTTTTTTTTTTTTTTTTCAAAAAAGACGACGTATCCAGCACCGATAGGAGGCATCGTAAAGAAAAACGTCTCATCTTCTTCATCGAGGCAATATGTACACACAGTTATAAATATGCAAAAATAACGAAAAAAGAGAGGAACGGTAAATATTTACAAAGTCAGCACACACCCACACCCCAAGAAAGAGAGGCAGGACAGGTGAGAAGCAGGCCGGCAAGTCAGAGGATAGCACAGGCTCCAGTGGTGCAGCCCTTCTTCTTTGCAGACTCCTGAGCCATCTACAAGATCGCAAAAGAAGTGTTTTCATCCACTTTGAGTGTCAAGAGATTTCGGCTGTTCTAATTGGTGTTGGATTCGTCCTTAGAAATACTACGGCCACGGTGCGCAATTCAACCTGTAAAGTGGCGGTCAAATCCAACCTCGGGACTTTGTGGGGAGAAAAGACAGGATGGGTCAATCGGCTGAAAGGAAGTCCTGTTATGTCAGGGTAACATAACGCACTACCTCATCGCATGCTTTATGCCGCAAGACTTAGTAGTGTTAAAAGCCCTACAACATACTTCAAGCTGGGACAGAGGAGAGGTACTGCCCCATCCCCTCGTGCACACTCAACAATCACATGATCGCACTCCAAATAAAGTGGGCAATTGGAAAATAAGAGTGCGTTAAAGTTGGAGTTTTCCTTAAAATTCTAGGAAGGAAAAGGTCTGTAAACGTGAATTCCGCGGAAAACCACCGTCTCGTTGGGGAAAATGATGGAAAATGCACCAAATGACTTGGATTCCTTAAAGACTTTAAAGGTTTGAGAAGTGAAAAGGCGTTGAATGCAGCAGCTGCTCTCACAACGTATGTGTGTGTGTGTGTGTGTGGAAGTTCATAATGCACGACAGGAGCAACACACATTGTCTCCTCCACACGCTGTCGCGTAGACAACCCCTCGCAAATGTGTCTCAGCAATGTCACGGAGGTTTCACATCACCAGTGAAGGCACGCATTCAGCATACGGGAAGGTAAGAGGAGGGGGAGGAGACGTCTCGTCATCCGTACGCATTTCTGTGTGAGAAGAACAGAGTAATCACGATCCAATTTGCATACCTCCCAACGGTACTCCTCCTCACACCTCACACTTCACCCCTTGAAGAGCGTTACACCACTTCAATCGCATACGCAGTACAATGCTGCCTTCGCAGCAGGACTGCTCTCCCAGTAATGCGTTGCATTGAATGCGTTTTTGGCTACTTAAATTGCAGACAGTAGAAGCACTAGTGTAGGTTGAATGGTTGTGAGCAGTTAAAACCATGTAGTACATGCGGACATTGAACTGGAGACGATCGTCGAGTAGGTGTCAAATCGTGTTGCAAGGGAGATCCACTCGAGAGAGATCATACTATTTTTTTGAAGGGAGAACTCTCACCCGTGGTTGGTGGACTGCCTCAGTGATGCTAATTTCAACACCTCTTTGAAAGAACTGTCACCAATTTCGTTCACACTGTCAAGGACTAGTTTGATGATGTCCACTACCAAGACCGTTACAAATGAAATGCGAAAATTACACTTGGAAAATGCATATTTGTTATATTCGACAAATGTGTTTCTACTATCGCAGCATTCAACTTCGTTTTACAGTAACGGACACCAGTATAAGGTCTCGCTCTTCATTGATTGTGCCAAATATTTCCAACTTTATAATTTTTTCCCCTTCAGCGTCACAAATCAACTCCATTACACATTCACTCACTGTCCACTTAGAATAGAGAAGCCGTTTTCTACTTCGGTCGGCCATCTTAATGAAATACATGCTCCTGAAAAGCACCCTCTCGGAGGTCTTCACCATCCGTGATATATCATTTGTTTATTGTCTCCTTGTTCTCTTTTTAAGGCCTTTTTAACTGAGGTGAAACAATTTAGAAAATATCGTGGTCTCTCCTACTAAGCATGTGTTATGCAATTACTGGATTAACAACAAACATTTTTAAAACATTTTCGTGGTTACATTCATCATCTCAACCGTCACAAAGCTAGCAATATCATGCGATGAACTTTTGAAGAAGTCCCCGTGTTACAGTTTTCCCAATCTCCAAAGGTGCTACAATTAGCCATCGTACTTTATCGGTATTTTGTATCTCAAGGTCAGCATCATAGCACGACGTGACATGTTAGTCATACAGGGCGTTGGTCAAACTATTGCTAAAACACCTACCAGTCGCACTTCCGTGGAGAGCACAACAAAAAATGTCTGAAACCCGTGTCACATATGCGTGACGACCTATTTATACTACACTAGCTTACATTTCACAGGCATTTGACATGTGTCCTTTATCAGTTTATGACAGCCGGTTACACCAAATCGCGTTTTGGAAAAAACCGGAACATTTTAAAGCACTAAATGAGATGTAGAATGTTCCCAATGTGAGAATAATGACTATGCCTTTTGCAGTGACAGTTTCACATGAGAAGAATAAAAAATCTGGGCTTTGTTGACTGGCTCCTACCTCCGAGATGCTGGCGACTTGTGCATCAGCCGGAGCACAGTGCACTAGGACACCTTTACGGGAAAAGGATTGTTTATTCAATCAACTTCTTCATCATTTCCACCACACAATCTTGAAAGCAAAGGTGCTTTAAGTGGAAGCTTCACCAACTGCAACGACGCCAGTGTTTTCGTCTATTTCACAGGTAGCATTGTGACATGCTTGACAGGACAATGTAGCACGATACTTCTACGGCACATCACTCGGGTGGATGGCATAAGGACATGAAAGCACCTAAAGCTTTCGTACGAACCAAAATGTCTTACAATAATGAAAATGAGTATTCATTATGAGGACGAGACACCCAGGACATGACATCAATACTTTAGGCCCTTTCTTTCAAACCGGAGAACAATCCTCCTAGCACATTCAAAGATCCGGCAAACTATAGGTTTTAGCAAGTTCCATTTTTCTAGCAGTATTCTCAGATCTCATCGTTGACGCTGACATGTCGCAGTATGGTGATTCCACACATCTAGATGGCCAAAAGGAAAAAAATTAAAAGCAGGTTAAAGCTATTTTTTATTGATGACAATACCCATTCAATAGGAGGAAGGACAAACAGTACATGGATTTGAAGATCTTGTTCCATTAAAAACAGACAATTTTAAAAGACCTTTAGCCTTTCAATAGGTACATCAATCATTTCAGCTAGTGAATGTCTGAAAATGATGAATGCACAACATTCTGGTAGCAATTACAATGATATTCTTCTCTTATGGACAAGGATGCCAAAAAACTACAATGGCTTGTTGTAACTTGTCGAAACAAGCTTCCTGTCAAGGTGGGCGGTAACAGAAATTACCGCCCAGGCATGACCTACATTAAACGGCTTAGCTTTGGTGATGAATCGCTTCAAGAAAGGCGCATCACTTTCAGGAGGACTGCATAGTCTCGACAATGGCGTGTCAAGATCAACTTTCGGTCTATTCATAACGCAACGCGTGTGTGATGAAGATGGCAGTGAAGCTGCCAGGCAAGTGCTATGCATTCCTCCATGTCATAACAACGCGCTGTGTTTTGGCTGAGTGATGTGATTTAAAGTGTGGTTCTTTTTATTGCACCGTTCGGTAAGCAAACGAACACAGCACTGATTATCCCCAAAAAATCCACTTACTACTCACCCACTCCAAACTTCTAAGGCAACTACCACTTCATCTAACCGAAGACTGTGACTCCTTTGTACGTCTACGATGGAGGACAGACGCAATCACCTGAGATCTACACGAACCAAAGAGAACTTGCGGAACAACCAGAAATGCTTAAGCAATCAGATTAGGACTTTCTGGATGGAGAGTAGGGAGGGGGCTATCACCACCTCAACGTCTATATTATCCTGTTAATATTTTAACATGTTATGGTTATCACCTCCTCTTGATACCTATATTCAACAGTCACATGATAACATGCCAAATAAACTAGATATATGGAAAAAAGAATACAATGAAAGTGGACATTGTACGGAAATTGACTGAGAAGTAAAGGAGAAAACGTGTAGAGATTATTGCCACTAAACCCTACCTGCATAACCACTTCTCGAAAGACATCCATCACACCTTCCCCCGTCTTCGCCGAGGTCTCTACAAAAGCACAGCAACCCCATCGCCTCGCCGCCGCATCCCCGTCGGCCCTGGCGACCTCGCGGTGCCCTACTGCCGTTAGATCCGCCTTATTACCCGCCAGCACAATTGGCGGTAGTACTGGCGATGGCGCTGACTTCGAAGTTTTGGACTTCCGGGAAGGCGCCTTAGTCTTGAAACGGAGGATCTGTTGATGCACTGCCTCTAGATCGAGGAGACTCTGCAATGAGGCAATGCTGTATACGAGCACAAAACCCTGGCCGTTGCGAATGTAAAGGTCCTGCAGTGAGGAGAACTGCTCACTGCCCGCCGTGTCAAGAATCTCCAACATGCACGCCTTACCATTTACTCTGGATGAAGGAGAGAGGAAAGGAAGGAAGAAGAATGAGACTAGGAGGATGGAAGGTGTGATACCCTTTAATCAATACAACAGTCTACATTAAGATGTTTAGTGATGATTTTCAGCGACAGATTGTGTAAACGAGGACATAAGCACATGTCCAACTGCGAGGTGCATTAAAGTCAAACCAAGACTTTCAAGGTTACCAATGGCCGATATTAAAGGCACCTGTTTGTGCCAGGTGTGCCCATGTCGTGCTTGACCCGGTCTGATTTAGACAACATTAACCAAGGTGGCAGCAGACAACGGAGAGTAAACTAGTGCATGAAACAGAGTCTGATGAAGCTTATTGTGAATGAAAAAGTAAAATTTGCACGCATCGACTCGTGTAGAAGACATCAAGTAAGGTAAAATAGGGAACGACATCACGCAAATAATGTGAATATTTCAAAGTCGGTTGTCAGTAACAAACCCACCCGTGGTAGTTTCCGTCCAGTCCACAATAGAGCAGTCAGTTCCACGAACTTACATGCAGTGGATGAAACATCTACCTAATTGACAGGCAACCTAACGTAAAATGGCACAAACATGCAAGTTCTTCTGTTGAAATGGTTATTTTTGAGTTCTAAGTCTGGGGTTTTTGGCACGAATCCTAGTTTGATCAAAAAAATGTAGGAAGAAAGAAAAGTGCGAGATACTTCTAGGCATTTACCACGAAATCAATTATGAGATTCGGAAGAATACAACAAGGGAGAGCAAATTTAATCGAAGTCTCTGACTTCATCACCTCGGAATGTTTTCAGCAAGGCTACCAACATTTCAGGAGACTTTCATGCTCTCTCATGCCACAATGTCAAATGTGGGACATAAAAGAGTGATTTGATCCGATCCAAACAACGTTCGGGCAAAAATACCAGGCTACTTAAAACTTTTCCTTGATTTGCCCAAATGGAAGTGAGAGTAATGATGTATCAGAGCCAGACGTCAAGAGCTGCCACGTCATATCACGGCTCCAGAGGTGGAACATGAAGGCGCAAGCCTGCCAACTTCACTTTTATGCAACATCTTTTCCTATCTTTTTTATGTAGGTAAAGAAATCAACTGTCGGAAACCACACAATCCTACAGTCACTTGGTGGGCTTAATGAGTAAAAGAAGGATGAAAGGTGTGACAGCTCTAGTCACTGATAAACAAAGCGCCCTAAAAATGATGCTTTAGCACCACATAAACAGAGGAAAACACCGTCCATAAAAAAGCACTAATAGCTTTTAAAACACTATCTCAAGTGGCTTTTGAAGAGGTCGTTATTTATTCAAAGGATCCCAATATTCAAAATATAATTGCCTTCAGTACTAAGAGTGAGTCTGGCGTTAGTTCACTCAACAAGGAGTTCAAGTCGGCATCCCCAAGGCGGTACTTTATCTGTGATGAGAAGGACTTGAATCCTGTCAAAACACAAGTATGATTTCGCTTAAGTAGATATCTTTCCCAAAACGATACAACTACTTGACAACTGTCTTCAATGCAATGCCCGCGTGTAAGACATGGTTTCCTCTGCTTATAGTTATTCAACCTACACTAGTGCTTCTACTGTCTGCAATTTGAGTAGCCAAAAGACGCATTCAATGCAACGTATTACTGGGAGGGCAGTACTACAGCAAAGACAGCATTGTACTGCGTATGCGATTGAAGTGGTGTAACGCTCTTCAAGGGGTGAAGGGTGAGGTGTGAAGAGGAGTACCGTTGGGAGGTATGCAAATTGGATCGTGATTACTCTGTTCTTCTCACACAGAAATGCGTACGGATGACGAGACGTCTCCTCCCCCTCCTCTTACCTTCCCGTATGCTGAATGCGTGCCTTCACTGGTGATGTGAAACCTCCGTGACATTGCTGAGACACATTTGCGAGGGGTTGTCTGCATGACAGGGTGGATTACTCGTACTGTACATTATAAACATCCACACACTAACAATAGGCTTTTGATGCTGTTCCAAATTGGGCATCTGGATGAGGTGCGACCAACTTTTGCAAAGGAACACAAGTAATGCGGTTGGAAAGAGTGTTATAGACTCTAGAAGAAATCTCGTCATAGCTCAATTCACACCTGGTGTACGTCTGCGTCTACATCTACGTGTATGTCGATATTCTCGAGACTCTCTTCACGTTAAGCCGTGGAGGGCTACAGTGGCAGAAGGGCATTTTAGCGACCTCATCCAGTCCTCCCCAATTCAGTCTTCACGACTGAATGGAGCAGGAAGTTCTACTCACGTCACTCCTGTGCCACTACATTGCCAGTCCCTCTGCACATCCGTGGTGAAGGCACCTTCAGACCCACACGACTTATGACGGCAACGTCAGGCGTCGAGATATTTCAGACATTGGACATTATGACAGCAGAACAGTGGTGGAAGGAGCACACCATAGCTTAGGGACGAAGTTTTGAGGAACCGATGCATTTTTGTGTGGTGGCCAAATAATGGAAGGTAAGGGTAAGGTCGCACATCAAAGAAGTAACTCCTCGACAGTCAGAAGTAGGTGATAGAAGGTGAGGAGGAGGCATTTAAAGAGTGATCAAGAAGAGCCGCAAGCCACAGCTGCATTCATTCCTGTCCTCGATTCAGATGAATCGACTTAATCTTTGTGTCGTGCTTTCCTTCCCAATTTAGTCTGGTAACTATCGTCCACTCCAAGGTGGATCGAGATCTGATTCGATCCACTTTTTTTCCACTTTCGCCTTTTAAGTCTACCGGAGCCGCTTAGTACTTCCTTGAATGGCTCATGATAAGTAAAGGGCCCATCAAGTGAGCAAAAAGCTCACTCCTGTATGAATTAAGGTCGAATTCAAGTTTTGAGAGATCGAGTAACCTTCTTGAGCGGCAACTTTTCAAAATAACTAAGATGGCGCTTTCGGAAAATCTAGCCGCCTTCACTAAGACAGCATTTCTTTCAACGCAACCATTTTGCGTTAAGAAAAAAGCAAAACTAAACAGTATTGGCCTTATCTCCTCCAGAAATGGTTAATAATTCATAAAAACCTGTTTAGAACGTAAATTTTTACCCAGTCAAGCCTACACGTTGCACTTCCTCACCAAAACATTTCGGTCCTCGACTATGAAATTTTTTGAGTTGAAAATCCCTGCAGTTTCTCACATGAAATGGAACCAAACACGATGAAAAACACCCAACAATTTCGCAGTTTGATACGCAAGAATGTGCCGCAGTCATGACCTAATTATTAACTGACGTGATGAAAAGGTCACCTCACTTACAAGTATTATTACAGTGAAATCGTCCTCGTTTTGGTTCTTACGAGTAACCTCAAACGTTTGGTTCAAGAAGATGTCCCAATAGATTTTGATGCTACTTCAGCAGTTGTTCGTTTTTACGCTAATAAAAGTGTCCCAAGGGATGAACTCCTCTGTGGGAACGTTAAACAAAACACATTTCATAAGCACTTGAAATTATGAAAAGTTGGCAAACACTGTGGCACCGAAACGGAAAGTTAAGAAAGGAGGTATCCTACGCTAAAACAATTTGGCCATGCTGATATAACGTTCCAAGTACTGGTATACCGCAGAAAGATAAATGCCAAGTTCGGTAGTAGTAGTAGTAGTAGGAGATTGTATCGAAAGAAAAAAGCAATTTACAGAGTCCACTCTCTGCAATTAATTTCCGCGTCATTTAGACTTAAATGACCCGGTTTGACCGGAACGCGGTGAGTATGCACTCATGTCAACCCAAGAAACCATTCTGTAATGACTGTATTTCAGCATTGCCACTCATTTGTTTGACCTCCAATAGGAAAAGTGCATCACCACAACTTTTAATGGTTAAAAAATTGTTTTATCGCGTGATCGAGTAGTAACGGGAATGTGGTGCCTTGAGTTCACACATACAATACATATAATGAGCATCTGTCTAAAGTGGAAGAATTGGTTAGGGAAAGGGAGACACCGCTGCATCAACAAAGTGGATGTGGAATCACACTTGTAGAAATTTGTCACAATCAACCCTTAAAAATGCCTATTTAGAATAAAGTGTGTAGAAAAAACATGCACGCAACAAGTACAACTCTGTCCACAGGTAGGCGTGAAATGTCCGTAAAAATGGTTGTATTTTCAGTAGAAAACGGACAATCAAAGTGTAACACATGACAGCAGGCGACTGACAAAGTGGAAAACATTATCATATTTGATTAAATCATGAGTTTTAGCAGTGATTTTAAAGATGTACAAGAAGGGCGGCACTTTGATGTCCGATTGCTTTTCAATAAGTGACAATTTAGTGCCTGAAATGGAATGAATTCAATCCAGACTGGGAGCACAATTGGGACAAATGTTGGAACAGAAGTGTCGCCATTTGTAAAGGCCTCTATTTTTGGAAAGAAAATGGAGTGGGCTATCAATTAATGGAAATTGCTCAGTAATTGGTTCTTGAGGCTTTAGTCTCTTTACGGCATCAACACAGTGGAAGACCTAAAGCCCAAAAATGAGGCCAGACGATAGCCAAGTAGAGTGAATTAAAAGTGACAGTTTTTATAGTCGATTCCAAAAAAACTGGAAAAATGACGATGTATGGATAGCGGGAGGATTGCCATTACTTCCAAGAGGGCATTAAAAATTCGCTTAAAGCAAATATTCGGACAGTCAAGAGGCACTTATTTTTGGGAATCTATCGTATTTATTAAATAAGACGTAGACATTTAAAATCCTTTTCCAAAAGGGGACACTACGCAATAATATTTAGCACAAAATTTAAAAGACCACTCCCCTAAGATTGTTGACCCGAAATCCATTCAAGACTAACCATTTGTCAGGACTCGCGATGCCATCTCATTCACCACAACAAAGTTAATAGCAATAAATTTGAGTGAAATGTTCACAATCATGAGAGTCACTTTGCTTACAGACTGTTTAGCGCATTCACATGTATGACCTCTTGATCTCATTACCAAGTCTGAGGTCCATAGGTATGTAATACGTGGCCAGTGTCGCGTCTGGAGGGGATAATTACACTTTTGAAATGGCCAATTTGGTATAGTGCACGTGAAGGTGCTCCACTGGCTGTGGTGATCGGCCTTCTTCTAAAACCTTTGTAGCATATATGCATGGAAAAAGGCTTCAAAATCAACTAATGCACCGATAAAAAATGGCTAGTTTGTACACTAATTTAGTTTTAACAACTTTACAAAAAATTAATGACAGCTAAGCCGAAATGCCAATCTACGAGTTAGGCGGCTGTATGCCATTTAAAGCTTTAAACAATTCTGAAAAAAAACTCATAGTCGGAAGCAAATCGTACAAACGGAAAATAAAATGACAGTTTTGATTTAAAGTACCATCTGGTGAGATTGTTTTTCACTTGGTTTCATGCGAAGGTGACCTGCAATCCGTGACATCAAATGGCGATGCAAGATCAACACAACTCGAAAATATGCTTTGCTGTTGGGGATATTAAATTAGCGTCTTCTTTATTGTTACATTAGGGACTTTAAAAAAGGGTGTAATAGTTATTCAACACATGTACTACCAGATATACGACGTTTTTTTGCCAGTTTACCGACCGAATCATGTGCCGGAGACAGATTGACTGAATATGCAACAACTCATGGTCTGGGAAGGATAATCAAGAATCATGAAACATTTATGAGCTGCATTGGATGATTTTTCTCGGCGATCCCAATAGTAGACACTTAAAAAACCCCAAGACTAGACGAGGAACTTAGTAAAGAAGTTGGAGGCAAACCTAGGTGAATGCGCTACAGCTCCTCAATTGGGTGCAGAAGCATACCACACTGGATTGATGGCCAAATGTGGTCTTGACATCTACATCAAGTCACCTCATAACTGTTTATCGAAGTGACTGATCTTAGTTTACTGGCATATTCACTAAACGCATTCTCATTCTTTACAGGCGCGCAAAATTTATCACCGCTTTTCTCGCATTTCTTGGGAGAACAAAGTTCGAGGCTGCGAGTAAACAAACACTTTAATTGGCAAAAAAATAAGAGAAATCTGAAGCACTAAGGTATTTATGCTCTATAATTGTTCAACACTTCCAAACGTTTCAACAGCTTCAAAGACAGTTTTATTCCGCTACCCAAAGGTCGAAAATTGATCCACTTTTTATCGCGATCCCCGCCTCCACCTGGCGAGTTGGTGTCAAGTTCTATCACCTGATCACAACAACCTGTACTGACTGTCACAGTGACACAATTCAAGCTAGTTTTAAAAGTGCTATGAGTCCCCTCATGGGTCTCCAACTTCCATAACTCAATGGAATTCTGACTGAAAAATGGAATAGTGTACAATCAATCTCTGAAAAAATGTAGTTTCTTGTGCTTAACATATGCATATGGGTCGGTGTATTTGTATATTCGGAAAATTTGTGCGCAAATACTGCTGCTTTTACAACTGCGGCAGAGCCTGTGTTTGTGTATTTGCGTGTCAGTTTCTCTTAAAACTATGTACTCCCATTTACACACGTCAATTATTTAATTAATGAATAATTTCAACGCAGCAGAGGTGATTATTCTTTCTGCCACTCTAGGCACTGCTTCCACTGAATGGACCTGGATGCCCTAATTGCATATATTTAATAGCCTCAACAATAGCTTGGCTTATGAAGTTGGTTTGTTACTGAAAGGCACTCACCGCATTGGATAGTTCTCAATATTTGAGATTAAGAGTTATTTTCACAACCGAAAGCAACTAAACTTGTCAATACGTGGGTACTACTTATTTTCCCAAAAACAAAGGTTATCTAGTATTACAACTTGATAACTTAGTTAATGATTTATCATAGGTGTTGCTGTAGGTAGTTTATTCAATAAAAAGCACTCAAGGACTTAATCTCACCTAATCAACAGCATCCATAGTTGCCTTTTCGAATTCTTGCTGACTAAAAACGTGCATTCCTCAAAAAATGGGGGATTTTTTTCAAGGTCTAAACGACAAGCACTTTATTAGAAAGCTCTAGATGCCTAATCTATAAAGCTGCATTTTACAACAGAAATTAATCAGACGTTTCGCTACCTAATTACTGGTTAAGCCCGCATGAATAAGACTCATTTGATAAGATACAAAACCATAACCACATGAGATACCCTGGCTATACGACAAGGACATAGAGCTGCTCAAATCAGGCCACTTTGGAATAGGTCAGTGATGAGTTGTGGCTACGCCTCATAGTCAAAATTTGGTACCAAACGTAAGGATTAAGACAAATCTGATAAAAGTGATCATCTGTAAATACGTAGGAAGGATTAGACGCTTGCGACGAAAGTATGAAATTATGTTGGCCGTGATTCATGTGAAACGCCTTTTGATTAAAATTTGACAATTTTCATCACGAAGAACATTTTAACAATGATGAGGGAAGAAAACCTAGAATATATTAAGCCAGGGGTGATAACTAAAAGCTCATAGGGAAGGTGTTTCTGACTGACAGAAGTAAGAGCAACAGTAAGATAACTGAAGATGGAAAAACTAAACATCTACTGGAAACATTGCGGAAATAAATATTCAAGAGAGAAATAAAGTGACCGACTCAAGACGAAAAGGAGTATTTTGCACTCCAATAGAGCTATTTTGCCTAGAGAAATTAGACAACCATCGGCACATTATGCTAGAGACCTGCTTAAATATTACAATAATGTGTCATAGTGGTAAAGGAAAAGGTTTACATTACGCCTTCTTTGACTCAAGAGAAGGGAATGGTAATACTTGGAACGGATATATGCTCATATCGGAAAATTGAGAAAATATCCACAGGATGCAAAATTTTGGAATAATTTACCACCAATGTTCTGCACTGAAAACGCTTCATTTATTTAAAAAGAAAAATAGGAGAACAAATTGCAAATAACAAGCAGGTCTTCTACACCTTCTGATAGGATAAAAGTAGATCTATTAGCCGTAAATACCTGAAAACAAAGCATAGGACAAAGGAAGCAATGAACAGAATTTTCAAACTTTGAATACCGAACTCACAGAATCTCCTTGCGGTAGAAGTCCTCAATTGTGGGGTCGTACTTTTCTTCAAATCTCCCTGTGACGAAGCGAACAGTTAGGGCGCTCTTTCCAACTCCTCCATCACCGAGAACAACAACTTTGTATTCGTCCATCTCCTCAAAAGCAAATATATGAAAAGTAAACAACCGATTTTATTTTCTTGACACATCTGCGGTTATACACTGACGTGCAGGAAATAGCGCCAGATGTATTGTGCAGGTGCTATGAGAGGATAATCCACAAATCGAACAAAAGGGAGTTGGATCATCAAAAACAATGACGCTGTTTATAACTCCAACCTTGGTAAATTAACAGAAGAATGTCGTAATATATCACCAAACGAAAAAAAATGACATCCATTAGGCTTTTGATTCAAATACAGAACCGGTAACAGAATTGCGAAAAGTTAGCATAAAGAGAGGCAATCCAAAAAACACACCAACGACAAACCCTAGCTCCCGTGAAAAATATAAAGCGGCCAACCCCAGTTTTTGTCCTTTACATTGGCATATTAAAACAGCACTTGATAGCAATAAATTTGTCATTAAGGAGCAGCTGAGATGAGCCACCTGGTCAACAGTGACAAATTATGATACGACAAATGCCAAAACCAACCAAAGAGAAACGCATTAAATAAGGGTAATACAGTTGCATTACCACATAGGTAAAATGCGCAATTGCAATTTGTGATTAGGGTTAGAAAAAATAGTGATATACTTAATGGAAAGAGTTTTTCTAATTCTAGAATAAAACAAGCTGGATGCAATTAGTTGGGGTGATGCTAATTTTTAAATCAGAATCATCTTTTAACCAAAATCCACTACAAGGAATTTATATCTTAGTTTGCTGTGTGAGTGCTTTGTTCTTAAACCTATTTCCATTTTCTAATAAAACAAATCTTGAAACGTTTTATTACATCTGTTGAGGAAATCGATACGATACAAAACACACATTTGAGAGAACAGACAGATTCCATTTGCTTGATATTTTGCTTTTATGCAGAGCTTTTGATTGTTCAACTCTTGTGTGGGATGAGCCTCGCAGGTCTCCTCCTCCCCCTTCTTCGTACTCTTGGAACATCCAGGTTGGTTTAATTCTGGCAGGTTTATTAGGGCAAGTGGGGAAAACAAGTAGAGTTCAAGGGGATGTGGAGACGTAACCGCTCCCTGGCTTGCAGAACGATGACTCTTCTGTCATCAGGTCCGAATTGAACATTAAAACAATATAAGTATTACGTGGCCCCCTCGTCCCTTCAGTACCGCCCCCGCTGCTACCACTTACGAGCTCCTCTAAAAGTTCCCAACCGGCGGATCCTTGTCTTCTTTCAGGGCATAAATCTCATCATCATATCCGACCGGTGGGTGTCCTTTGTGGTGTTTCATCTTATTGCGATGAACAGTTACTGGCTGGGTACGCAGTTGTGCGTTGCGGACGAGGTAGTTTGCAGGAGAGGGCACCTTCACCACCCACAATGGGTCCTTGCTCCACAGTGATGAAGCTTGCGATGTACTCCAGGTGGGCGAACCGGTCCGTAGATTTGCACTAAGTCGCTTCTCGGTAGACGTTCATCCCGCTGTGTCAGCCGTAACATTTTTTCTGCCTGATATGAGACAGCCATAAATGTTTGCGTGCAATGTTAGAAGTTTTTCGTATGCCTTCTTTCAGGCGTAGTATATACTCTGAAACATTGTTGGCTGATTCGTCGGTGTTTGGCAGGAGGATGTCGGAAAGCACTCTCATTTCGCGACCTGTGAGCATCTTGAATGGAGAAACACCCGTTGACGTATGCACCGTGGCTCTGTATGCCAGAAGAACACACCTCAGGCTTAAATCCCAGTCATCTGGTTGTGCGCCTTGAGTGGAGGCCTTCAGTAGTCTAATGAGAGTTCAGTTCCATCTTCCTACCTGGCCGTTGCCTTGCGGATGTGCAGGTGTCGCGCATGTTTTTGAGATCTGGCAGACCTTACATAGCTCAGTGAAGAGTCGGCTCTCGAAGTTAGGGCCTTGATCTCTATGAACGGATTCAGGCACTCCATGCTGGCAAATGCATCGAGTGAAGAAAACTGAAGCGACCGTCTCAGCGTCTTGTGGCTTCATGTTTTCTGCCTCAGCCGCTTTTGTGAAGTAATCTACCATAACCAAAATATATCGGTTTTTTCTCTTGGTGGGCGGTGGAGATTCACTATTGACTTAGTTACGCCAGAATCGAGGAAACTGCAGGAACGTCCTTAAAGCTTATCAGGGACTCAAATATAAGAATGGGAGCCATTTGAGAGCAGACAGGAAGGAGAAAAGGAAGGGTCACCTGGTCTAGGGGCATAGTACCGGGGATCACGATGCGAGGGAGTTGAATTTGACCAGTTTTGGAAGTTCTTGCAGTTCAAGGTCGCCCAAGGTTCCTGCCGCTTCTTGGTTCCCAGCTTGACCAGTTGACCGAGCGAGTTGGTCTTTATGTCACAGAGCTTCTCAACCAAAGTGGGAGGTCGGACTCCGTGTATGAACTGGACCATTACCCAGTTTGCGATCTTGTTTGGAGGACAGCCACTGAAAGCATGCTCCACCAGGTGTTGAAGGATCTTAGTGTACTTTTCGTCATCCTCATCAGCTTTTTGGAAATGGAGGAAGAAGTCTCTGGTGAGGATTTATTCTTCCCAACTGATAACGAGTTGAGCCAACGTATCACAGCATTAATCAATGTAGGTATCGGTGGTGATGATGATGTCGGCTGTGGCAAAAAATAAATCATGGGGGAGAGCGTGGAGAATTCGGGGGTATTCTTTGGCGCTGAGGATAGAGATGAAGGTTAAATTTAGCAGTTTTTAGCCAGTCTTCGAAGTTCCTGTCATCTCCGAAAGAGAGGAGGTCCGCCGGCGCTGCCACCAGTGTGGAACAAGGTTCGTAGATCTCCTCTTCCGTGGTCCTCATACTCTTAGAACACCCAGGTTGATTTGACTCTGACATGTTTATTAGGATAAACAAATGAAGGAAGCAAGTACAGTGTTTAGGGAGGTGTGGACACGGAACCGCTCTCAGGGTTGCAGGGGGTTGACGCCTCAGTCAGGAGGTTCGAGCTCACTGCCTGTCTCCTCTCTGAATGGGGCAGTAAAACACTATAAGCATTACATTTAATTGTGGTAAAAGGTCTACTTAGTGTCCTGACCTTTGCACCTTCGCCAGGTGGGCTGGCCTCTGGACCACACTAGTAGTCCCAGCTCCTAGTATTATTTCTTCTTTCGTCTTCAACGATGAATGTGGGAGCTACATTGGTGGCAACGAATGGGGATCCAAAACTTAAAGGATATCTATCCTGACTTCTAATGCTGGATGATAAACCTCAGCGGGGTGGAAGAAATAAAATATGGTACAAATAGGATAGTCGGTGACGAACCCATACCGGAAGGCTGAAAATGCCCTTATTCTGCAGGAAATCTATTAGCAGCTCCAGCTGTAGACCATAAGAGAAAGGTTTTGTTAAGTAGTTTCCTACCGTGCCTGCATAAATACATCGATAAAGTAAACTGGTAATACCTTATCCACTTCTCTTCTAGCTGGATAGAACCTACACATATATGACTGGACACCTCTGTAGTTGAAACAAAGTGGAAAAGAGGAAAAGGCCAGAGACCATCCCTTACAGAACTGCGTTAAAACTCATCCTGTTTAATATAAATCTGCTTCAAGGCCAATCTTTCTACGTTTAGCTATAGACACGAGTGATGGCTAGCTAAATTCTTCTTCCCCTAATCATGTTTCTACATAGGACCAAACTGCAGAACCATTTGAATTGTTAAGTGAATTCTATGACATTGGGGTCAAGTATCTCCTTAATATCTCCTCAATTGCAGCCCAATTCCATGACTGGCATAGTCGCATCTTATGTGTTTCCTTAAAGCCCCAATTACAATGCAATGGTTGATGCTAGATTTTCACGAATGGGGCGTCAAGGATGACGCTCCAAAGAGAAAGGCATAGGGGTCTCCTGGTGGTGAGGTCATTGTAACTTCACAGGATTGCCTGCTCTCTAGGCCATGCTAGTAGCCCCGGGTCCTAAGGCATGTCGTATATGTATATTCTGAGTGTTAAGTCTCCTTTCGTCTCCGAGTAGGGCTCGGCGAGGTAAATTTATGTTTTGACTATATGAGGACTGCAATAATTCATCTCCTGTTCCGTTTCTGCAGCTTGAATTATACGGCAAAATAACCCACAATTAAGCCTTCCTTACAATGAAATTGTAATACAATAGTGATTTATCCCTCGGTTTTGGTGAGGTGCCACTTTTGTACTTTGAATTAGTCCCCTTGTACCTCGCTGGGTGGGCTGGTTTTTTGGGCCATGCCAATAGTCCAGACACCCTCTCTGAGCTGAATTTATATTCTACCCAAGCATTTTGTCTTTTTTCGTCTTTGGAGAGTCCCGGGACGCTACAAAATAGCATGTACAGCTGAGCTTTCTCTAGGATAATGCAAAACATCAGAGTAGCCATGGAGCTAATGCCTATTACTAAATTCCAATTAAATTGGCCATAAAATGCCAACACTGCCGTTTTGCAAATGAAATAGCTTTTAATTTACATCTGCACACCTACGTTTATCGCCAAAAGTAGTAAGACAAGGCCTGTTATCTTAAAAATAAAATACTTCAGAACTAGTTATTTATTCGATGCATAGCCCAAGCGCGTACCCTTGTAAGACTTTCCGTTTATTTTAGTGCATTATTTGTTTGCAAATAATTCTTTGAATACTTCAAATATTGTGATCTAGGCACAGGTGCCAAAACCAACAGTTGTCTATGACACTTCCAGAACTGCCCAATTTATTGCTGCAAGGCACAAGTCCTCTTTTTTGATTGACTTTTTAAAAATTTTTTTGCTTATCGTTTTTTAATTTTCGTTTGCTTATTTTTTTAAGGAATTTAAAGCTTGTTTGTTTTAAGTGTTTATAATTTTCAGCCCGCGGTCCTTAGTAGCTTTAGTGTGCGTTTGTCGTAGCTGACACATGGGGCCAAAGAAAGAAGTCACTAAGCCTGACAAGTCTGTAAAGGCTACAAAGTCTCTGAAGTCTACCTCAGGAAAAAAACAGTCGGCAAAGAGGACTGCTGCTGCCAAGATGTCGTCTAAGACTGTCGCGAAAAATGCCTCAAAGAAGCTTCACGGTGTCAAAGGTGGCAAGATCGCGAAGTCCAAGTCCAGTAGATTTAGTCCATTTTACAGCATTCATTATTATCACTCTTAGAGAAAACTATCGTCGCTAGGGCTCTGAAAGCTCAGAAGGCTATGAATATCGGTGCTCATACGCGGGGCAAGAAGAAGGTCATGAAGAACATTCGTTTCCGTCGGCCCAAGACATACAGGCCTCCACGCTGCCCCAAGGATCGCCGTTTTGAGATTCCCAAGCGCAATAAGTATGTATATTAGTGTGTTTACTTCTGTCTTAAAGGTTGGACGCTTTTCGCATCATCCGTCATCCCGTCACAACTGAAGCAGCGATGAAGAAAATTGAAGATAACGATACTCTTGTATTTGTTGTCGATCGTCGGGCAAATAAGCCAGCTATCAAAGCCGCTGTTCAAGAAATGTACAAAATTAAGGTGGCTAAGGTGAATACTCTCAACTGCCCCAAAAACATTAAAAAGGCTTACGTGAAGCTGCCGCCGGACTTTGACGCTCTGGATGTTGCTAACAAGATCGGTATTATATAAATAAATTGGCGTATTTGTACAGGTTAATGCAATTTTTTCCAACTCAATAAGAGGATTTACTATTTTTTTTCGTCCCGGTCATTATAATTGTTTCCCCCTTTATCGGTTGAGAATCACGTTGCCATTCCACTTTTGGGGTTTGCTGTTTTTTAGTTGAATTTGATTATCTTAGTGAAGAAATGGTAGGAGTCTCTCTGCAGGTCTGTATCGTTTCTGCATTCTGGGTGTGGTTTCAAGGTAGGGACGCGTTTTACTTGACATTCCCGGACGTGGCCAGACGGTTCTAGGATAAGCTAGTGTTCGGTTGCTGACGCTTTCTGTGCAACCCTCAGTCGCAATTTTTGAGTGGGGGTGGGGACAGTCGTTCGCACTGACGCGTGAGAAGATGAGTGAGTGGTTCCGGCGGTCGGTGCCCCGGAAACAGTCGCAAAATTCGGCCTGCTTATATGCAATGGGTAGTTGGGTGACGTTATCGTTGTGTGCTCGTGATGAGTGTGGGGAAGTGAAGCCATGAAGTTGCCTGCTGCTTATCCAGGGATGAAAGCGTGAACTCTGTAGTAGTGACTCATTTCATGAAGGAAATAAGTAGTTTAGTGACTGATTACGTTGTACTGATGCAAAGCCTCTCAAATGGGGAAACATATTCTAATTTTGCCTCATTCTAGCATCACATAGACATGGAGGTAAGGGATTAAAGTAATGGCAGAAAAGCATCCTTTGAAAAATCTTACGAAAAATGGAAGCCGTGAGATCATTTTGGGTTGTGACTTGGAGAATTAACATCTTTTTTAACTTCATCTTTGGTTCTTTGGACTCCTATGTTAAACGGTAGTGGTTTATCCCTCGGCATTGGTGAGGCGCCACTTTTGTACTTTGAATTAGCCCCCTTGTACCTCGATGGGTGGGCTGGCCTTTTGGGCCATGCCAATAGCCCAGACACCTTCTCTGCGCTGAATATATATTCTGCTCGAGTATTTTGTCTTCTTTCGTCTTCAGAGAGTCCCGGGGCGGTAAACCTAAGTCCCCGGAGTTGGTGCCTCAGCTTGTTAGTTCGACTCCGTCCACGCCAAGGGTATCTCAGCCCTTCTGTTTACATAGAACAGCTTTAGTATACGTCGTTACCCATATGTTGGAATTACGTGCGTATAATTATTTCGTTTATTTGGAAACTGTTAAAACGCAATATTACGACATGACGGCAGGTAAAATATCCCAAAATAGCTTCATCGGCCAAATCAACAGCTGTTACTTGTATGGCCAAAAAACTTAGACACTTTTGACTCTTTAAAAGTGCATTAAGAATTTTGAGATTTTTAAATATAGCAATTAACTCCACGATACTTCAATTCATTTTTCAGTGTAAAACACTCGTAACCAATAAAAAAAGAGGAATAGGGGTAGCCTAGCCTGCATCGTCGGACCCGTCAACTCAGGTCTGCCCAATGCCGCTTTTAAAGGGAGGTCGGTACGCTGTTACTCGAACAAAAAAGTACCTTGATGCCGGTAGAATTATTTTCCGCGAAAATGTAAAAATCATGGCCATCAACACCTTGTCTAAAGGTGAAATATCCGAAGGGGCTCGCGAATTTATCAAATGGCATTTACCTCCTCTTCAATACAAGAACCCTTCCGTCCAAGTACTTTCCGAATCCCCACTGGCCCACACTTATAGATTGTTACTTTGCGGGACATTTGTCCTACACCTTTTATTAAATTCTACCTTTCCGACGGTAGAGAATTCAACGTTGACTGCTCATTTCACACCGCTGATAGTATTCAAGATCATATTGCATTAGTTTGCGCCAAAACCTACGACACCATAAAGAGGGAGGAAGTGGAGAATCAGAAAATTGTAAATCCGGCGAATTTTGGGTCAAAGTAATGATGGCCAACTTTTGTTTCAAACCCAATGTCTCCTTTTAGATATCCACGTCAGTGTATATGTGAAGTGTATGGTCAGGTTCCGTGCTCATCTCAACAGGGCAAATCAAAGCCTTGGGAGGGGCAGGAACCCAATTTACCTCCCATGCCGGAAGAGGTTGAAAAATCTCCGTGATCATTCAGGTCTCTTCGCTTGTTCCCCAAGACTCATCCAGCGTACACTGTCTCACCTTGTATTATACTACTACAAATTGGTCCGTTTTTAACAATGTGGTAATGGGGTAGCCTTTTGGGATAATATCACGAAAACAATAATTAAAGCAAATGCCGTGGCGAAGAGTCGTCTCCTTGACTTGGTCGATTTTCTTTGGGAAAATAGGTACGATACAATGGAAAATCGGGGATCAATAGATGGGTATTTACTCGGAGCAATGCACGACAATCGCGACTCTCCAAACTACGGGAGTTCATAACACTGAACATCTCAGGTGTGTCTCTTTTTGCTACTATGGATATTTCTGGTTCCCTTTTTAGATAAAGTGGCTGATAGCTTAGTTTTTTTTTGCATCATTTAGTCGGTTCAGCGTTGGTTCATCAATGGTGCTTTTGATCAAATATTTACTGTTGAGAAAGCCAAGCGCATCTCGCATTAGTGATTTTAGCCCTTATGATGCAGCTATAACCATTTGCCGAGCATGACTTAGCTGAGAAGGCTGGATGTGACCTGAATTTATGAATGCTTACTCGCGGAGAGTTACTTAAAGCTCCAGGCAACACACGAACGTAATCGCCCGTAATATCTAGATTTATAGCCACAACAGCTGGAACATCAGAAGAGGGGTGGAATAGTGTTGGTCGGATTAAAAGTGTCAGTAATTTGGGAGTATTGTAGGGACCAGCTTTGGTGATCGGGGTGGTAGTGTCAATAAACGAACATTGTTTCAATATACATTACCATAAGAACAACGATTGTTATTAAACAGCCGAACAGTTTTATATAAACAAACAATGCTATTCAAACGAGCATTGTTACTATACAAAGATTTGTTTTGGATAATGCGCTGGAATCGTGGCTCACTCTCAATGATTTCCACATTTTGTGATCACACGTCGAGTGTGTTTAACGCCAAATTTTTTAAATAATTTTGATGATGAGTAGACTGTTGAAACACACACCTCAAGCAGTTTCCAACGCGCCCGTCTCTGCACCACATTTTTTGACTGATCGACTGAGGCACACTTGAATGAAGTGGCGATTCTGTGCTATCAACCTGCACTTAAGACGGGTCAAAGGGCACACCACAAGTGGCCACAAACTGGAGACACACACACGACAAGCCTACGTCTCAAAATTTCGCTGCTGAACCAATTTTATAATGTCATCTGTAGGTTCCAATGAATGCAATTTTCACCTTCGAGGTACATTCCCTCCCGCTGAAATTGTAAACGTGCAGAATTGTGAAAAAGGTATCATATTTCTGAGAAAACAAGGAAAAAATTGCCTTTGGCTTTGTAGAACGCGCGGTGTAAAATTTCTGTGTGAAACATCCATGTTCCCACGTAAATTGTTAGGTATGCTTTAATACGGGTGGGAGATTTGCTGAATGTGTAAATTTACCGGATTAAGTGAACGCAAGAAATTAAGCATAAGAATCCTCATGACTAGGATATAAGGTGTTTCGTGGCCATTTTATGTCAGCAATCCAAGTGTACCCACTTCGTTGTCACCAGCCTCGACTGAGGTTGAAGGCATGTTTTGTCGATACCTTCAAGGTGGTGACCCCTACAAGGGTGGGCTGGAGGCCGTCGACCTCAGTGGTCAATATCATGAGATTGGGACACCCGTGATTGTTTTAAAAGGGGGAAGATTCAAAATGGACAGTTGTCCCCTTCTACACCCCGGTTTTAATACTTGGGTTGAGAAGATTGAGGGTGGACAGTCTACATGGTAGTGATGTGGGATTTCACAAGTAACCAAAGCTTCATGGGGGAAGTAAGAGTTTGCCCCCTTGTCCTTATCCCCTTCCTCTCAGTCACGAGGTTGACCCTATCTGCGGCATGCTATCCAATAAGGTCTATTCAAATAACAATGTGTTAGTTTGACAGTAAACACATATCATTGTCAGCTGGTCAGTCGAAGATGTTTCTTCCAACAACTTATCGTGTTTTTCAGACAGACCTAGGGCAAATATTCTAGATCTAGCCACTTCCACTCCTATTTCTCTTTTTGTTTCCCAATTATCTACGCAGCTACATATGTGATCAGCCAATTCCAAGGTGATTATTACATCTTTGGAGAAATGCCATCCAAAAAAATACGGTGAATGAGGCTGGACTCTACCTTTCTTCCACATCGAAAGTGAAAATCTGGACCGTGGGCACTTCTAGAGTAGCTAGTCTTTCACAGTTTTGTGTTGTATGGAGTTGAGGAGGCTCAAGTATATTTGCTTAGCCTTCAGCGAGTAAATAATTTTGTGGTTCAGCTCTCCTACAAAAACACAGTGCAAGCATTGTCTTCTGGCGATGAATTCGTTAATGCCTTAGAAGTGTGGGTTGCCTAGTGAGTGTGTTAGAGCGAGCGAGGAACTTCATTTCATATCCTACCATCGCCACCATTATCGTCATCACCTAGCGTGTTAAAGTTCCTCATGACATGCATCTACTTCACCATCCGTCGTATCTGTTGCAGTGCAAATGTAGTGGCTGGTATCAACGTTGTCACAACTTGCCTGCCATGCATCGACTCGGGATTTCAGGAGAAGAGGATGTCGTTGCATGATGTCCCTGATGCATATCTAAGGACCACCTAATTATCCTTTGACATTCCTCTTTGCAGCTCTAATAGCCCATGATTCTCGATTCAAGCTACTGCAATCACCAGTACGACGTTCTTCCTTCATGTCCCTTCCCATTATTTACTCTCTTTAACTGTTGCGCCAACGGACGCAACGGTGGCGGTACTGGGATCCAGGAACAGTAAATGTTGCAGTGTGATCTGATTCCACTGTCCACATTGAAAATATGGATTGTAATAAATATTGAATATAACAGTGTGGACGTCGATTTCTTCATGTTGCAGATGGCGGCTCCTAAGATATTGGCTAACTGTAAGGACTATTAGTCCAGAAATCGGACGGTAGCGCACCGTGTACGGCTTTGTTACCGTTTGTGTTGACGCCCAGTCATGGTGGACAGAAATCAAAACTACCAAATAAAGTGACACACAACTTAGCTGTCTGATAAGTCAGGCTTGAAAAGGTATTGGTTCATATAGACACCGATGTGCATGACCAAATATAAAGATCAGAAAGTCCGCCACCACTCATCCAATCTTTGTTTACTCTCGAGATCACTTCCATCACACCCTCGCACGTGTCCGATTGCACCACCGCTCGGTCTGTGCGTGTCTAGGTCTTCCCCAAATGCTCCACAACAAGCAGATTTAGATTCGTCGAGCAGACAACCATGTATACATTCATTGGGTTAAACGATGATATATGCATAGAGGGTTTGAAATAAGGAGAAAGTAGTGGGGAACACAGTGACATTGCATAAGATGTGGAAACAGTCGGATGGATTTAAGCCACCTCTATCGAAAGTTGCAGAGGAGTTTATGGGTCACTCAATGCTTCCCAGCTAGTCTTATATCTGCCTACCCTATTTTCAATACATAGGCGGTGACTTGTTTGAAGGTAGCTTCCCACAAAAGTTCAACCACTACTTAGCCCTTAATCAACCGTTACGTACACGTGTTTATGATTCGCGAGCACGGACGTTATTGGTACCTGAACTGGAGTAAACAAGAAATACCGACATAGTGGGCACAACTGAAGCGTGGTATTCACTCTCGCGGCCGTCGGAGTGTCTAATGATTGCCCTTCTAATTTATTTTTAGCACTATAGCTAACCTTGACCTTACAGTGCTTGTTATAATAATGCATGGATTGTGCATCTCTACACCATATTGTTCGATGAGGAGGAACTCAACAGGAATGCAGATCGGGGAATGCTCTAGAAAGTCCGAGGAATCAAAAACAGCTTTCAGAATGGTAGAAAGGAAAGTTTGTTCGGGATTATGGACATTCCCCCCCCTCCCAGTCCTAGCAGCTCTCTTATTTAGCGAGTTCGACGGTTTCCACTGTTGAAGTGATGAGCTCTAGCAGTGCAGTAACTGTAAGCATTGGAAGCAACACCCCGAATGTCATGTGGATGTGTGCATGTATTCACGAAGCTTACAATGCTCCTCGCTAAGCAACGTGAAAGCTCGTTACATTAACAGGTAACAATGTCAACAATATTAGGTAAAAATTTACTTCTGACCTTGAAAAGAGAAAAAAAGAAACGAATATCCCAACAGCAAATGCTCAATGTATGGAAATAAAATTCGTTCAATGGACTTTATTTAATCTGAAAAATAATCGCGAGTCAATAACTTTGCCACAAATCCAGCCATAGCTCCATACATTCGCCTATCCATCTCTATTTATTGCGTTCCCGTTCTTCATCCTACTCTTCCTTTCATTCGTGCACCATTCTGCGCCATTATTTTGTTAAGCTCCGTTGGACATTCATTTACTCTGATGGCTAATTGGATTTTGTTTTTTTCGATGCACTTTAAGTCAAAATTTGTGCGTTTACCGTTTTGATAATTTGCCAGAATTACCGTTTTTTTGGAAAAATAGCTTGTAATCTCTCTCTCTTTTTTTGCAGTTTCCCCTGTTTCACATCACTGCTTGGATGGTTTGTGGGTAATGTGCACCCACTCAACTCGTACCACTGCGCTCCTCTCACCTAATCCTCGTGTTCTCATGGCAATTTTACCTGTGAATTTTTGCCCTCCTAAATGACAGTGAATTATCTCCAACGTATTGTCAAGTCACTTCGGTGGATTTTTTGGAATAATATGACAAAGGTACTGGCAGGGTGCAGTGAAATGAGGTGACATGGCTGACTGCCGGGTTGTAGTTCACCAAGCTGCCCTGTAACAAGGCCGAGGTAATCAAATGACCTCAAACAAATACACAGCCGCATTTTGCCACAATATGTAAATGGAACTTCGCATCCATGACTAACAAGTCGCAACATGAACAGTTTGGTTTTTTTTTTTTTTAAAAAAAGGAGAAGAAAAGAAATTAAGCTGAGGATGAGCGAGTAAGAAATCGCTCATTGTTATTTTTCTTCCATGGGCCATACATATCAAATCGGAAACCTTAAAACGAAGAGATAAAAGTGGTTACGTCAAGGAAGTGGAAAACGCATTTTTGTGCCACACATCCCCTCCACTCATTTTCTTACCTCCTTCCAGTCTCCACGATCAAGTCGTCTGTATGTAGAAGTAGATATTTGTTGATTCAAATCTTACGCATATAGTGGTTGCAAAAAAAATCCTTTTATCACAATAGGCTATAAACAGCGATAAAGTGTACTACCATTATGATTAGAAAAAATTTTCCAAACATGTAAACCCAAAAGTCCCGACTTTGCATATACAAGCCTCATTCACATAAATGAGATGCCAGAAAATAAGAACTCCTTCATTCCTGGGTTAAAATATCCCCATTGTAGCCAAGACAGCCTGTAATGTTATTTGTACTTTAAGCAACCATATGGATCAAGCTGTTGACCTTACAATTAACTCAACAAAATACCCCTGCTAATTTGCCCACTGCTCTGAGTTGATTCCCACTTATTGATTCAACTTTGTAGTTTTTATTCATTGTTAGACAACATGAAAAGGCAATTGGACGTTTGTGTTTACATTGGTTACGGGTAGGCACACACGCACGTGCGCATGTATGCAGACTCGTGGTTGTGTGGTCAAAGTTCATGATTTACACACATACACGACACGAGCCAATCATCACATGCCTTGAATGTCATTGGCTCACCCCTTTCATTTATCTCACCGCAAGATGCTCGAGACTCACAACAGTTGGCAAACATGAAGATCCTTCTTATCAGCCTGGTCTGTGCCGCCATCTGCCTTGCGCAGGAGCCAGAATCTTCTACTTCCGCTGAGACGACTGAAGCTCCCGATTCCACGACTTCAACAGAACCAACTACATCAACCACTACATCGGCGACCACGACCGTATACACTCCTGCATTCGGTAAGTTTTGACCTTAAGAATGTTTGAAAGTGACCCCTTTTCATTCCTTTCTTCTTCTCTCTGTATCATACTGTTCACTTCTGTAGGCCTGAATGTCATCCTACCATTGGTTACCACAACCCTCGGAGCGGCTGTCCTCTTGGATCATTAAATAACGCAAACGTCCCTTTTCTCTTTCCCTTTTTGGTAATGGTTTCAAACCCGTTTATGTAATAATAAAGCCTTTTAACTGCACCCATTGTTTTGATTTCACGGAAGCAGGTGCGTAAACGATCGCCAAAAAAAGATAGCTAAATTCCTAGTGGGATAGAAGAAGGAGCTTGAAATGATCGTAGTAGATTAAAGGAGGCAAATTTTGCGCCGTCGGTATTAAAACTGGTGTGGACTATTAAGGCCTATCTTTTCAAAGATAAGAAGAAAGTGCTTTGTAAAGAGGTCTTTTTGACTTCGATTTCTTGGAAGTTGAAAGACCTCCAGATTAGATATTATGGTGTCCTCCCACCCTACAGGAGTCGATTACACGCAACAAAAAGGGCGTGTTTTAAGTACCACAACCTTTTCCCATTCAGTAATTACTCTACACGCACTGAATGGACGTGGTGCCTGGCAACAGAGAGTTAATGAACTAGGAGAGCAAAAGAGGGAGGTGGGGAAACTCTCCACTTTAGAGGTGCTTCTCAGCACAAAAGACCTACCTTAAAAAGCTGATGGAAAAACAATTAAAACACTGTTTTAAGATGTTTTAAGTGAAACCTTCTGGCAAGCTGCGCTGTATTTGCATGTGTGGATATTAATTATGCACTGGGAAAACTTTTTAGCCGGAAACCGTAAGAGAAGAACTGCGGTTTCCCTTTACATGATTTGAGGTGAGTTTATTTAAAAAAAGGCGCACAAGGCATACTGCTCACAATGAATGATTGTTGGCCTACTTTGTGGCTAAACTGTGATCACATGTTCACGCAATCTTTTAGCCTATTTACTGTTTATCTGTCACTACGGCTTCCACTTTGGCCAATTTGTACGCTCATTGTCGGTGGCTCAGAGGTGGAGTCGATTGGAAAAAAACTAGGTTGTCCAAATTTTTTTTTTATTAAAAGGTCAAAAAATTGTAGAGCATTCGGCTTCTATTTATTTGATTTTACCTCCACCAAACTGGTTACCATAATTGAATAAAAAGCCTCACATCACGCACTCGTGACATTGGGCCATATCGATATCTCAGAACATTACAACCATACACACGCGTGAAACCTGACAAGACCTGATTTACATGGTGGTTCCAGTTGGAGTAGATAAAAAACAAAATGATCAGAGCATACTGTAAAGTGAGCCTGAAACTGCCGCCTCGCTTCCTCGCAGAATAAACCACACTTACACGCACACACACAGAGACCAAAAGGTGCAGCATGTACCAGACAAGATCGATAAAAAAGGTTCCTATTTATGAGCATAAATCAACCATCTACTGCACAGTGAGCATAACTCAGGCATTCATCAGCAAGAGACCACATTAATTCCCCCCTTGATTAATCGAGCACTCTTCACCCACTCGAGCAAGGTTCACGCGGACAGCTCAGTCAAGTTGTGTTCAAGTATTCCGCCAATCGCGGATCTGATCGCAACTGCTTCTCCAGCAGCATATACTTCTGCGGTGCGGTCTGTTTATGCCTTAGCAGCATGGTCTCTAGTGTGGTGATCTTGAAAATGGCGTCATTGCAGTACTGCAAGTAGGCTGCTTCGTCCTCCTTGGTAAGGTTGATCTGATTCAACTGGAACCACTGCTGTTTGCGTTGTAGCGCAGACGTCTCAGCCTCAAATCGAGCTTGTATGATGTTGGCCTTCTTAATTAGACGCTCCTTCAGATCTTGTAGACAGGCCTCTCGAACAGCGTAAGCATCCTCTCGACTCAGATTATCCCCGTCTATATCGTGCATATGGAAGTAAGGCGCCAGATAATCGAGATCCTTCTCCTTTTGTTTTCGACGCTCCTGTTCGGCGTGCTGTTCCAGTGCTATACGCAGATTGTGTATCTCCGAGTTGCGTTGAGTGTCCCACAAACCAACTTCTAGTTCGGGCTTAGCTTCTTCTGCAGCGCGTTTGTCCAGGATTGCCTGAACTTCGCTCTCTGAAGCCCTAACGGTCTCTTTAGCAACCTTTTCAAGATCAATCAGTTCGAGAAGCATCTGGTAAATCTCCACTTTGGTCTTACGAGGTGGGTTGAGACTGGGCTAAAAAAATTATTTATGTTACCTGCAAGTTAATCGTCCATTACACCTATTTTTTTAAAAAGGCCTAGCCGAAAAAGGAGTCTATAACTTCGAACAATTAAAACGCAGTGGCTACTGAAATAATTAAGTGCAATTTCTCACATGAAATGAGTTGTGGGTGTCTGGATGCAGTTCAATGACCTGACGTCGATCGCCACTGTCGGGAGGCTTGTTGAACTCCCGTCTGCAAGGGAAGATGCATTCGTCAGCGACATGGTAAGTGAGGAAATATTTTTCCCCAGCTATGTCAAACACCCGCTCCTCCACGTCCTCATCTGCGGAAATTTCGGGATTCCTTGCAAAACGCTCCTTTATTCTGCGAGAAAAAAAAAACAAAGTTTGCACTAATGTAGACTCTTCGGGATTCGAATAAACATCTTAGAGCCGAAGAGACCTGATTGGCTGTGCCAAGGTCATCCAGAATAATTATCTAATCTGCTAATCCGCTATCCACATGTTAGGTCATATAATCAAAAGGCGATAATAGAGCATTAGTTTAGGAACTTCAGTTTTTTTTCTTTTTTGCTCTCAAATAAATCCACAGGAGTTGTGTTCATTTTGTAAAGGAACAAATATAAACAAAGACATATATGTTAACTGCTAAACCATAAAATTAGTAAATTAGGGATGAAACTGTCAAATAAGAAATTATTGTTTAATACCGTATCTTTAACTTTATGACATTCTGCGAGCATTGAGTCCAACTTGAAAAGTGCTACACATACAGGAAATGTTTAAGCTAAAACAAGACTTCGACTAATTGGCTAATTTATAAAAAATCGCGCCATCACAGGTGTCACAAGCAGTAGTGAGGAATAATTACTAATATCCATCTTGCATGTCATGATTTGATCGGTTCAGACATTTTTGATAGAGGTGAAGGCTAGGATCTGGTCACGCAAGCGCAAAAATATTTATCTGGACTGAAGGCACAGGAGTAATATGAGAGGACAAGAGGCTGCAGTAAGATGTTTAAACTCTAAGAGTGTTTCTCGAAAATGAGCACACACTTGTCAGCAACGATCCCAGTAACAATAATTTCATTTTCGGCTAAAGCCATAGTAAGAAAATAATTCAAACAAGTAAATCGTCTAAATCTACTTTTATTTTTTTTATAGACATAATTGAACAAATGCTTCCTCCGGAAAGGTAAATATAATATCCTGTGGCCATTTACTATTTCGAAGCGCAAGCGTTCGCACGGGTACACAGAAACAACTGAAGGTAGTTGAGCCACTTAAAGTCTTTTCTTGAAAATGATAACAAGTGAATAAATATGACTCTGAAGGATCATGGAGAAGAATGAGTCAAATTTGGACCCCTTTCAATCTATTCCATAACAGGTTGCAAAGTTCCGTCTCTGCTTGAACGCCATACATATGCAAATCACTAAAAGATATTTCGTCAAAAGCTGATTTGTCAGTGACCGACTAAAAGACTCGTTAAAAGAATCACTGTTTCCTTGTAAAAGTTGTCCCAAATGTCAAGAATCACTGCCCAATCAGTGCTCAGTATTAGACTAGATTTGATTGGCTCAAAAGTAAATGCAAAATACTCACACTTCAATCTCCTTGTAACTCTTCTTGGTTACTTTTGGATCAACACTTCCATGCTGAGTAGACGATTTTACAATTACCGGAGGACCGAACTTTCTCACTGTCCGTCCAAAATGCGTTTCACGATAAACTAACCGATCTTCGCGATTGGTGTACCATTCCTTCATGATATTACCCTCTCGTTGGCGCTTCAACAGGCCATCGACTCTCATCTTTTCGTAAAACTCCATACATCTATTGGCGTCTGCTCCCAAATTTTTTGACATATATTCATGTTCCTTTAGGTGGTATCCCATTCGGCCATGATCAAAGGACTCCTTCACCCACAATGTCTTTAAATCTGTCACTCGTACATTTAACCTGTCTCTTCGGTGTTTAAAATACTCCCTCTCTTCAATTGCGTCTTGAAGGTCACGATCTTGGTAGACAGTCAACCGTACAACGATCCCACACTCCTGAGAGTAAGGTGTATACTTGATCACACGGGCTCGATTGTAGAGTATCTCCTTCTGGAAGTTGGGATACCTCTGGAAGTACTGAGTATTGGAAAGAGTGATCGGCAGAGTCCAAGACATTGGCATATCAACCAGAAGAAGCGTATCCAAGAGATCCGCCTGCATCTTCTTCTTCTCATTCTTTCGCGCCTTTCCATTCAATTCGTCTTCGTGCACTTGAAGACCATAATCCAATCCTAAATTATAGTTTGCTAGAGTCTCCGCGACATCCATCGATGCATTGAAGATATTTATTAACTGGTCCCCAGATTCCATCAACATTGTATTAAGTAGCCCTGAAGGCAGGACGAATTCCCAGTCCTCTAGGTTGTTTAGATCGTAACGCATTTCCTGGATGCCATTAGTACAGTCTTGCATATTCACCCAGTAATTGTTGTGGTTCCATACGCTTTCGATGCCCAGGTACATATCGGTGTCAAGTGCAACCGATTCGCCAGTAAAAGGTTCAATGAAAAAGGCTTCATGAACATCTCTGCTTCCAGGGAGCACTAGGATCCAAGAGTGAACTCGCAAACCGTAAAGAGGATCTTTTTTCGGTTCTTCCGCCTTCTCTTGGGCCTTTTTATCCTCCGCTACCTTCTTTTCTGCCGCTTTTTCTGCTTCGACAAGTCTTTTTACTCTCATCGTCACTTCGTACTTGGATAGAAAGTTCCTCACAGGTTTGACCTGATACCTCCCAGCCTGTGGTTCTTGATACATTTCCACACATTTTGGTGGTTTTACAAGTAGTGGGCACTGCTTTCGAGACTCATCCTTGTAGCAGCACTCACGTGTTGCATATCCACTCACTACAAAAGCATTGTAGCCCACACCGGTGAGAAGGGAGCAAAGGAGAGTGGTGTAGTCGAAACAGGTACCCAGTTGAAGGAAAAGGGTTGTTCTTGGGCTAAGAAGACGTGGAGGTAGTTCGGTACAGGGGAGAAGCGGAGCAAAGTCCAGAAAGTCAGCCACAAATGCGGCAGCACCTAAAGCCTCGTGAAGCTCGGGAAATGGTAGTTTTGTGGGTCGAATAGTAGTGGAGACGAATTTGCGGAGATCACATTCGTTGTGAGGAGTGAGGAAGAGTGGAGTACGGTCATGGAAGCGACCGGCGTATTGCCGACGAAAATTATCGGCGTAGGCAAGGAGGCGTGTTTCTCGAGCACTATTTTCGGTGTAGGAGGGTGGGAAGTTGTACTCTTTGGGATCAAAAGATTGTGGCAAGGAACGAAATTCGTGGGGTAAGTAAAGCGGATTTATTTCGATTAATTGTTGCTTTAGCTGAAGGGATTCCGGTGTCTTCTCGGCTTCTTCTGCTGGGGGCGCCGTGAAAGCCTTGGAATCATAACTATGATCAGCATCCTCAGAGACTCGCTGACTGGTAGGCAAGTCAACTTCTTCCAGCTCTTTCACATGGTCTTGTTCCATCGTGAAGGATAATGATATTGGCTACTGTATTAGGGTTGACATTGTAACTTCCAAGTAGTTCGTCAGAAAAAAACACATATTATGTTCTACGTTATCGCCTCTTTGCCATGAAAGTGGATGCTTTTATCCCCTATTTCCCCCCTTTACTAAAAATGACTTAGGCACATTCAAGATTTCCGCTTACGATGTAGTTTTAACATTCCTCTCATCAACCTAGCATTCGACTCACTACACTTGTCTAAAACAATTAATTAACACTATAGCAATATCAGAGTGCTAAGTAAAATAAGTAACTCCAACCACACACTTCACTGCAAGTTAACATGAAAACTACTTAAAGTGTCTCCCTTACCTTGACGTAAAACTTTACTTTCTGTAAGCAAAAACAACTATGAAATAGAGAATCTTGTCTATACCTTAATAAGTTGCCTGATTTTTAAGAGTTTGGTGTTTGTAGTTCGCATACTCACCTTAAATCCTCCCGCCTACCTAAATTTCCAGTATGGTATGCTTGTGTATCCTAACTAGTAAAATCTCAGGGTTTTTATAAAAAAGGTTTGGTCAGGTAGTGTTTGCTGAGTGCTTAGTCATAAAATCTGACGTTTTGCGTTGCTATAGCGGTGGATTTCACCAGCCTCTTATAATTATGCAAAGGTCAATTACAAAAACGTAGTAAAGTAAAACACACCCTGAACATGTAAAATAATGCTTCTATGCAATTTTATATATTTGTATAATTACGGGGTTTGTTTATAAATTTAGGATAACAAAGTTTGCCCTGAAAACGTCCAAATTTATCTGCGCCTGTAAAGAGTTTTAACAGTTTATTTTAATGCATAAACATAAATCTACTCCTTTCTCTCGAAATTATTTTATGTGTCCTTTGCCGTTTTTTAAGTATTCCGAAATTCCAATATTATGAGGCATTGGTTAAACCTATTGTATGTTCTACGAACAAAATTAATTGGGCTGCTATATTTGCACATTCCCGCTAATCTGGGAGGGGTTTAGTTCCTAAAAATGGCACAAAGGTTGCGCTGTAGTCCATGCTGAAGGGCAGCTTGAGCTGGTGTTTTGTCATGCTTTTGGATCATTTCGAGAATCAGGGCCTTTAGCCTTAGCGGAGGAACACCGTGCTCACTTAGAAAGTGGATGAGCTTAAAATGTGCATCAAATCAAAACTAAAAAGAGGTTTACTGATACAAGGGAATTACAGGCAAAAGTAGAAACAGTTGAGAGCGTGGTAACTAGTTCCTCGGACACCCCATGAATGGGCGAAATCGATGGGTACCCAGTTAAGAAAAGTAGCATAGGTACTGATTTGCGGCATCAAGGGTAAAATGTGACAAACTGTTTTAGGTTAAGATCGGTAACCCTAATGCAACGACGGAGATGTAGCGTTACCAGTTTCTTAATGGAAAATATAGCGTCTTGAGAATCCACGCGCACTCGCAAAGCTTAAACTCCCAGCATCCCACTTGGGAGTCTGAGAGACATTGTCTTATGTTTAAATCATTCCGGGATGGCCCGCTTCACCTCCACATCAGAGCTAATGTGCAAAGTTGTCCCAGCACCCAACATTTGTTGCCCCCTCATGACCGCATGTATTATTGCTCGTAAATGAATGTGCGGTGTTCAGCATTCCCAAAGACAAACTTTTCCCTTGTGCCATTGAATTTGCAAAACTAGTTGATCATTCATCCATCTGGCACCCAAGCTCAGAATTACGGATCAAATCATCACATCTTCCGATAAAATGCAGTTTGCTTTAGAGTTCCATCTGAAGTGTTTTCTTCAAGTTTAGTGGGGATAATGCGACTTCGAGGGTGGCTGCATTAACGCTTCCAAATCGGTTGTATATTAAATACACTCCGAATACGGTGGAAGTGTGTGCAAACTCATTTCAAACAAAAGGTTGCCTTAAGTGCAGCGCATCTTGTCTCTCATTTTGTAATAGTGGTTGAGTGGAGTAGAAATAACGGTCACATTGGTATTTGAGATCTGAGAACATTTACGGTACTGGAATAGTCATGGGCCTTCAAGAAGGAGTGAGGCAGGCAGTCTTACGATAGTTCTACTTTTTCGGCCTTGTACATTCCATCTAAGCGCTAAAAGGAGAGGATGGGTTAATCATTGCAATGGTAGAGGACTATAAATTGCTTTCTACGCCTTAAAATCTCCACTTTTTTTGCCTTCCATATACTTCACACATCCTTTTGGACATCTTAAGGCATAGTTGCATTGTTCTCTGGTACAAGATCGTAGCTAAACTGACCCAAATCACGGGCACTTTGTATGGAGACAATTTAGTAATATATGAGTGTCTAGGATAAGCAGTGATTCTTGATTCTCGATTCCTTAGGAGAGGTGTAGCTGAAGCCTTGCAGAAATTAGAATGGATCCACTCCTATTTCAGAGGGAAAGCTGAGACATCTCTTGCAAAGACTGATGAAAATCCTTTACAGAACAAAGCTTCCAAGAACGCGCCAAGGCTAGACACATTTTCCTTATCGTCAACAAATTTGCTTTGTAAAGGAGTGGGATGGGTGCGAAGAAGAGTAGAGAAAAAGAGAGCAAGTATTATCGAAGAATTTATAAAAGACGGAAATAAGGTTTTACACTGATTAACTGGGGTAGATATGAAATAGATGAACGAATGGACAAATGGATGGACACGAGAATGATGGACAGATGGATACGAGACAAATGGGTGGATGGATAAATATAGGATGGCTACAAAGTAGACGACTTAAAGGATGCAAGTACCTTACAATTCCATCCACCACGGTTGTCTTCAGCTCATCCACCACTATTCGTCACTCTGATCTCGGCTCTGGTGTTTTTGGACGCCAGAATTGAAGTCACCTGCTATAATGGACTCCAATATTGGCCCATTGACAGAATTGTGGTCTGAGTGGTGTAGGTTCATTAGCTACACACGCATTGTTCTTCATGCCTCCAGCTGCCCTCGGCATCTGAATTCACCACCGAATTCGCATCGAATGCTCAACTTGCTCCTTGTTGACAAGTCCCTAGCAGATTCTCATATTAGACAAGCAAAGTGATCCTTCTTAAGACAGTGTTCAATTTTAAACTAATTCCGCTTGAGACGGTCTGCTATTAAAATGTCTCATTCACTAATCCAAGGATCAAACCTATACCAGATGGAACGATAAGTACATGCATCTGCCGAAATATTCATCCTTGAAGTGATGTGGAGCTCTTTAAGTGGAACCTGAGCTGAATTTAATCAGATACACCAATATTTCCCCGTCTCGGCTTCATTTGCGTAGAGATGAGCGCGATCGTGGCACTGGTAGTCAAAGCCGAAAGCCGCATCCTTAAGTGGGATGGAAGAGAAGTGGATATGTCGGCTTCCAATCAGTAGCTTCACCTTAAAATCTGAAGAAGTACTTTAAATCAATTATTGCTTGGTCCTCTCAATTTCTAGTTGAATAGCTTAAAGACGAGGAAAAAATATGGCGTGTTCAAGCTGGTCCAGTCATTTAATACACTACAGACTTATAGTTGACTGTAAACTGTTAATTCCTAGGAAAAATTTTTAATGCTTTTAGAGACGCTAAGTTCACAATTTCGTCAATGACAATCACAGTTCCTCAAGGCTGAATGTAGCCTGCCTCCCTTCTAATGCCCTACCTGAAAATCAAAACCGGCATTGTGATCTGCGCACCGAGGGATTGGAGACGGGTATCAAAGCTCGTATCCAAAGCTGTAGCCAAGGTACTTTATGGAGACTCAGCTCCTCTTCGCAGTGGCTGCGCGAATGACGAGGCCTAAGGTCTTTGCATTTCTGTGCTTAAAGTTTCGTTGCGAGTGTTACTGACACGCCTACCCACGATACTGCGAAGCGGTAGAAACCCGCTGCTACAAGTTCTTTGACTGACACGAATAAATGTCACGTAAATACATGTTTTGCCTCCGTTCAATGTAAATTTAGGAGTTATAAAACAGCCTAATAGGGATCTAGTGAAATGTCTTTTGCTTCTTTTATCCTTTACCTATTGGCATGTTTTTTAAGCATAGCCAAAATCCACTAAAATACTAATCACGTTTATAATGACCATTTATCACCCTTCTGCATTGTGACTGACGAATTTAACTAATGTCCTACTCGCGTCACATGCACGTGACACGCACACCACACAGACACCATCCAGTGTTTATACCACTGCATGGTGCAAGAACACGAGTCCAGGTAATAGACGTGATAGCGAAATGGGCATCATAGCCTTGTAAACCGTCTCCATGCTGTTTGTTTCAATAACTGCGTAAAACTGGCGAAGAAAAACAACGTTATGTCCCTAGAAGCTGATCATACACCATCTGCTGTTGCTTTTGTTTAAGTAGAACCATTTCACTCAGCAATCACTATCTCTCATGCAGACGTCTAATATCTCAAATTCAGGGAAACAAAAAAGGTAATGAAGACGGCTGGGGGTCGATGCAGACATCAGCTCCTACATCAACGTCACGTAGTGACACATTTTTTTTATCTTAATTAAATGCGAAATATCACTGTGCTCTTACGTAACGCTTCTACATGCTTTATGGCAAAAAAATGAATAAAAAAAATGTAAGTCGGCAATGAATATCAAATTCAAAGTAAGAAAAAGAAATTCAAAATTTCAAATGGAG